GTTTTATTCCAGCGGTTTCGATACGAAATCTGTGATTGCTTTCAACAGAGACAAAGAAATGTATTTAATGATATCTTTGGGGAGAGATTGCACTGAAATATTTTTCAATCATCTCAAAACAAACTCTATATTTCGTAACCAACAGCATTCTCATGAGAATAATGCTACTGTTCCATTGAAAATAAAATTGATTCATACATATATTGATTGATATATAATTCATTCATTCAATGATACCCCAATACCCCCATATCCATAGTTAAGGAATTTATGAAATATAAATATAAATATTTCTAAGGTTCTATGATATTATAGTCTTGACTTGTATGATGGCTTAATGGATTTCTATAAACTTCTATAAACTACTAAGTGGCTTATGTCATCATCGTGTTCCAATCATTCCAGTGTGGAACAATTGTAAGCATTATTCACAGTAACCGATTTTCATCCGAACATCACTGTTTTTACTTCACTAAATATGTTCCGCTAATACATACTATAGGTACATTTTCCTTTCCCTTTTGTTCTCTTTCAACTGTTCCATAACATTCCCTAGATATATGTAACTCGACTAACCCGAAAAAAGGAAGTTTGTATTAAGTGTTACAAGTATTTATATTAAACAATAATGCCTATGAAACAAAACACAACAAAAAACCCAAAAAACCCGAAACCAAAGCCAGAAACCGAAAACCACAAAACAGATTAAAAAATAAAAATAAAAAAACTAGTCGTGAATGTTCCCCCAAAATGCTATATTGACTATAAAAGTGCAGTAAATATGCAATAAATATGAATAATAAATTGAAACGTAATTCGATTACTATGAAAAAAGACGCCCCGATTGTTGTTTTTATATATGGGTCACGCTGGGCTGGTCCCTCGGAAGGGACTGGGCACTGGGGGACTACATAAAATTATGGGCGTAACGCGTTCAACATTAACGAAGAGGGGGCAAGAGGCGCAGGAGCAGATACATTCACAGTTACAGTTACAGATACAGAGCTGAAACTGAAGCTGGAACTGGAACTTCGGAAAGTGTAATGTACTCGCAATTGTATCGGAAATGACTGCGGGCATGTATCCATAAGAATGGCACGAGCGGCACCCCTAGCCCGAACCCTCAAGGGCTCCCATGGCTGGAGCTGCTGCCGCTGCTGCTGATGGAGCCAGTGGGTGCGTGCAACGAGAGAGCGAGATGGAGCGCAGATTTCCCCAGCTCGAGCTCCATCTCTCTATCTCTCTCTCTCTCTGTATCTCTCTCTCTCTCTCTGTGGATGCTATCCCCTGATTTTCACTGCAATTTGTGGATGCTGTTTCGGGTGCCTATATACTCGGGCAGCCGTGCGACGCTGCGAGTATGCGTGCCACTGGTTACCCGGGATTTGAACCACGCCCTGTCCAACCGAGCTGCCCGAAAACTAGGTTAGCTCCTCCGCGGGATTCTATGGCTATGATATAGGGCTTTGTTTGTCCAGGACAGGACATCCAGGAGGCCAGGCTCTAATTCAATTAGCATTCGATGCCACACGTCCACACGTCCAGCAGTCCACCCGTCCATCAAGCCATCCACACACAACGGGGAGGCAGGCCAGGCCTTCTGTGGGCGCGCCAGGTTGCAATTAGATACGATTTCGGATCCAGGGTTTACATAAATGCACCCTGTTTGGCGGCAAACTAAAGCACCCAAAAGGTGAATGTCCTTTGGCAGGATCTGGCGCATGCGTCCTACCAGTGCCAGTGCCAGTATCAGTGCCAGAGTCAAAGCAGCACCCCTCTATCAACCACTACAGCCCCACCCTCACTCGCACCCGCACTTCACCCGCCCCAGCCACTGTGTTTTGTGTCAACGCCTTGGCGTTGCATCTTGTCGCACCTTATTGGGCATTAACGCCTCTCAGCCACTGGCCTCCCTGCGGAGTGACCACCGAGTCTCCCGTGGCAGCAACTCCCTTTCCAGGGGCTAACAGTCGTTAGCTCTAATCTGATTATTCAGTTGTAAAAACTTTCATTGACGAAGGGAGAGCCAGTCCCAGTCCCAGTGCCAGCCCCAGCCCCAAATCGCAATCGCAGTTGGTTTTTAAGTTCCAAAGGAAGTCGTATCCTTTATGCATACTCTTAATTATAATGGAGTTCTATGTAGTTCTTAGCCATGCTTTTGAAAAAAACCGAGCTATGTGCACAAATGTGCATATGCAGCGGTAGTTATTCTCTGGACTCTTTCAACAACACAAGTACAGTGGAGACTAACCAATAAACAATATATATTTCACTCTACTGAATGATCATCAGCACCACAACGAATAAACCTTTTACTTACAGATTATTTTTGGAGGGAAGGATTTTTAAAATATTTGAGACCCAAGTGAAGTCAACGTTTTTTCAAAGGATCAACTAACCTTCGACATCAATTACGAATCATGGAAAAATTCGTAGTTCTAGCATAAACTCTTCGTTCAGTAGTTTGCTATGAAGGAGGAGCTCTGGGCTCAGAACAAGATTAAATAACTCTACTCAAGTCAATTGGGTTTGATTTTAATTCAGATTCGACAATCTTAGTAGTGGGTATGTTTTCGCTACTAAATTTCATATTTCAAGCTAGAAATTAACGTTGTACCCAAAATATTTAGTTTATTGAATTTTTACATTAATTATTAAATTAAAAATTTAAATTACATATCTCTAAATAATACAGTGGTTAAATGTAATGCTTAAATGCAGTGTCTAAATTAGTGCACATGAATTATCTGGTTTTTTCGTCCAATCAAACCTCGTCTTAACTTTGATATGGTAGTCGTCTGTCGAGTGACTACTATGGGGCGCCTTTCAATTATTGACATCTCTCGCGTTGTGTCGCTGTGTGTTTGTGTGTGTGTGGTTTAATTATTCAATCTGTCGCATAGAAATACGAGTAGTATTCACATTCACGTGCTTTGGCCACATTTCAGACAATCATCAAAAAACGACATCATCTGAGGCCGGCGCTATTATCGCACTCCTATTGCCTCCCCCATTCGTCCAGCGAATGGCGTGTATAGCGTACAGCAAAAAAAACAGCAACAGCGCAACAGCAAAACGGCAGAGCGACAACAAACCAAAGAGCGGGAAGCAACAAGAAAGAAAGCATAGACTCGTGACCGAAGCATTAAATACTCTGGCAATTCCACCACAGTTCGTATGACAGCTATGTGACTACGATATGATGCGATATTGATGAAACTTGGTTAAACTGTTCAGAATGAAATGAAACTACAGACTTTCGTAAAGCAGCTGTCGGAGAAAGTCATCCGATTGTTGCTTTATATCGCTGGGGTGTTAAAGAATTGAAACAAATTATCTTCAAAAATATAGTAGTTGTTACCAACTGAACTATTTCGCCAATCTTTTTTAGGAAATCTCGGTGATCAGATATTGTTGGTTCCGACCCCAGGGTTGATATTCAGGGGGAAATTTGCATACAAATTAATTTAAACAATATAAAATTAACTGTTCAGTCATATGTATGTACAGATGCAGATATGTATAAACATATGTACATATGTATAAAAACATGTCTACTGCCGGTTAAACACCTCTTAAATAATTAATCATACCCTCTTCTGTCAAGGGTATCACAACAAACGGCACACGAATATCGTATATATGTTCTATACATATACATACGTGATACGCCGACTGCGACGCCACGGCTGACGCTGACTGTTGCGTTGCGCTTGCCAGTGTCGCTGTCGCTGTCGACGTCGACGTCGCTTAGGTGGTTTTTTGCACTTCTCTGCCTGGGGAGGTGGGGTGTGGGTTATCGTATTGCGTTACATTGCTGTTGCTGCTGCTGTTGCTCTCTGCCTGCGTCTCTGTCGCAGCAGGGTGCTTTCTACGTTTCGGTCTGGTGCAGCTCTGTTTACACCCGCTACTCAAAGAGTTTAGGGGTATATTAGATTCGCGTGGATAAAGGAAGCGTTTCCGACCCCAAAGAAGGGAATATATTATTGATCATCATCATCAGTAAGATCCATATTAACCAAATAACACCTGGGATAACCCACTCCTATCTCTATCTCACTATCTCTGTACAGTAAGTATGTATGTATGTGCTTACTTAATGAGTATTGTAATGTCGACTCACTTACCGACTCGTTTTTGCGCTGTGTTTTATTTCGCTGTTTCTGCTGCTGCTACGTCCACTGCTACTTCCACTGCTTGCCTTTGCTTCTTTCTATGCTTTTGCTCTGTTATGGCTATGTTAATGCTCGTTATTGCTCTGTTATTGCTCCGTTTCTGCCCATGCTTTTCCTCTGCCTCTGTTACTGGCACTGCCACCGCTGCTGCCTCTGCGCTGCCACTGCTTCGGTGAAAATACCAAACAACTTGATTTGTATACGATATTTCGCCGCATTTCGAAGCGTTGCGAGCGATTGGAAGGGTCATACCGGTGCCTGCCACTTCCACTCAAATATTAACAAAAACTTAACACAATATTACCACAATTGCAACAGCAACAACTACACTACTGGCAACAACAGCCACAACTTGTTATAAACAATCGAACGCGAAAGCGGAATATGAAACAGATTCCAAAGTAGTTAAGCGTTTTAATTGTTAATGAATTAAAGTGCAATTCCTTTTGTATTGGTCACGGATTGTAATAGTTGCTGTGTTGCTGTTGCAGATGTGGTAGAAATTGTCGCTGGCTGCTGTTGCCACCATTCGTGGCAGCTCCCCACCCACCCGCAATTGTTGCACACACATTTTGCTGCAATATTTTATCCATTTTTTTTATTGTTCCTGTGCAGTGTATGAAAAGTGCGTTAAATAAAAAACAAAACAAAAAAAAACAAAACGAAAACATAAAGAAAACGAAAGACTGGAGGAAAAAGGAAACGGCAGAAAGAAAGTAAAGTAAAGAAAACAAATCAAATTTTTGAGTGCGCATCAGACGTCGTCGTCGTCCATCTTGTTGTCTGCTGCCTGTGTGTGTGCGTGCGTGTGTGTTTTTGTGTGTGCGAGGTGTGGGTGAGGGCATCCGTTTCCGGTTGAGCTGCAACGCATTTTCGGGCAGAGGCAGGCAACAAAAACAAACAACAAAAAAAGCAAACAAACGAAAGGACACAAAAAGGACACGCAATAACAAAGCGAAACAAAGCGCAACAGACGCGAAACACACACACAACAAACGCCACCTCCCCTCCTCCGGCCGCCAATTGGGGCGCCACCCGCCCCACTGTACTCCCCCGGCTTCCACAAAGGACTCACAGAAACCAGGACAAACGTTATTCCTAACCAAACAAAAGAGAGACAGTGGAGAGGCGAGAGCGAGAGAGAGTACTCCACTCCTCATGTAAGGAAGCAGAAGCCTGGAAGAGCCCCTCAAGTAAGTGATGATGAACCCAACAAATACCCTGCACACATGACACCTCCTGCGTGGTGGTGGTGGTGCGTCAGAGCCCACTAATCTAATCCCCTATTTGATCGCCACTCGAATTGCCCTTCTCGGGTTACACTCCCACACACACAAACACATTTCTTGGTCTTCCATTAGAAAGACATTGAAGACGATTTCGTTTCGTTTTTATTTTAATTTTTTCAAAAACCCATACCCACCAGAGTCGCAGTGCCCCAATCCCCATAGCCTATAGCCCATACCCAATCCCAATACCAAGCCCTGGGGCCAACCCATAGAAGTGCTTCAAATGGAAAATCTTAATTGCACAAGAATTGTGACAAAGGAAAACCGCACAAAACGGCTATGTGGCTGTTGCTGTGGCTGTGGCTTTGGCTTTGGATGTGGATGTGGAGAGTGCGAGGTGTTATTGGGGCACACACTCTTTGTGGCAGGCAGAAGTAAGTGAAACAGTGGCCGGAATTGGGTCACCTTTCTGCTAGGTAAGATCATTCCAGTGTCCTGCTGCAGCCCTGCAACTGTGTCACACTGACACTTAAACCTATCGCGATCAGGGGGCTTATTGGGCTTATTGCTTGGAAGAACAGTTTGATTTTTTCATACTACAAATCTTGAATTCTAATTATTCTTTGTCTCAAGCAATTAAATTTCCAATTCTAGTTGCAATTAGAACTCGATTTGTAATTTAGTTTTCCCTTTAAAATCTAATATCTGCTCCTCCATAACCTCTCATGATTTTCGTTGATTTGTTTTTCGGGTTTCTTGAGGTTTGACGATTGCCATTGAAGAGAACTTTAGGGAACTAAATAAATTCCACTGCTGTTTTCTTACATATATTTCGTCATTTTTTTTGAAGCCCTTACATACACTTACCCCGATACTTCCCTAAAAGTATCATTCAGAAATGATCATTCTTCCGCTTTTTCACAGAACTCTTAACCATCATTTTGCTGTTTGTCCGAGTATTCCCCTTGCAGCATTGCTTCTTCCCTTAGATCGTTATCGATTCTCCTATCGATCTATGCCTTGAAACGACTCTGCTTTTAAGTCGTTCGACTCTCGCATATCCACCGGGAGGAATGTTGGCAAAACGTACAAACAGAAAAAACATTTGCAGAGGGTTGAAGCTGAAGCTCGACAAGCGACACGCGATTCAATTTCTAACGGTGGTTAAATGTGGGTGGGTCCGTGTGTGCGGGTGGGGTGGGTGGGGTGGGGTGGTCTGATGTGGTGGTTTGCAACATAAAATATGAAAGAGCCAAGAGGCAGAAAAACGAAATGCATATTCTGCATATTCCGGGGGGCATATTAACTAATGAGCCGACGACCTCGCGACGACGGCGACCAAATGCAAAACTGGGGATGACGACGGACCAAACGAATGACTGACAGACGTACATACGGATTGACCAAAGGAACGCACACACCCACCACCACCAACAGTCGTACCATCACCCAGGGCCACAACATTCGATGCCATGCCATGGCTCATGGCCTATGTTTCGTTCTCCCATGGAAAAGTGCACTGAGAATATCAGCAGCAGCAGTAGCAGCAGCAGTAGCGTTCTGTTTATAAGGTCACCCTATTTCCATGTCTGGCACTGTCTGCGTCTGCCACATGCGTCCATCTGGTGGCAGTTCACATGCCCATTCTCCTCTCTTATTTTTCTGTTCTCATTTCCATTTCCACTTCCATTTCCACTCCGTTTCCAATTGCAATTCCAAATCCGATTCCCAGTTTGGTGTTCGCTCGGTTGTCTGTTGTCTTCCATCTGTAATATCCGGTTCTCAATGTAGGCGACGTCTCCGCTGCAACGTCGTTTCCCCCCCAGAGATCTGCATAGATCATGTTTACGTTTTTATAGTTGTAATTTTCCAGTGGCGCCCGCCACCGTGTGGCCATGTACCCATGTAGCCATGTGGGTGGGTGTGGTTGGGGTTGGATAGACGGATGGATGATTGGTTTGTTTGTAATCTGTCATCGGACACTATTGTCGGGCCTGTCATAAACATCGACAGCAGCACTGCGATGATCTCCCCAATTCAAGTGGCATCGTTTGTTTATAACAAATGCGGTTTGCCCATTATTGCCCTTTTTTTTTTCGTTTCATTCGACAAATGAAAGTTCTCTGACAAATACGGTGGGAAAATCTGGATCACACGATCAGCGTTTGTTTTGATTAATTCGAGTACACACACAAACACCAGCAGAGCTTTGAATTTGGGCTTAAAAAGCACTTAAGGAATTATATGGGAAAATCCAAGAATTTTATTTTTATTTATAATTAAAAATGCCTCTCTGATCTTGGGTTCTATAAATAAATAAACTAAGCAAAAGGTATAACTCTTCCAAAAATATGTACGAATTCAGGGAGTTCTTTTCGTAATGCGATCTCAAAGATGCAAATCGCCCAAGGCACTCGGCCAGAGAGTAACAGCAGCAGCATCAGCTTTATTCTCACACTAAATTCATTCCCATCGTAAAGTTGACACACATCACAGCCCCAGCCTCAGCATCTCTCCAAAATGATGGATGATGGTCATTCCTCCCATTCAACAGTCGGAGGAGGAGACTTAAAAGTAGTTCTAAAGTTTACGAGGGGCCTGCCCATCATTAAGTACCAGCTAAAGAGCAGCAAAAAAAAAATAAAAAAACTATGGCTAACACCGCATTAAGGCAATGGTGGGGCAGACATAAAAAGCGTTCTTGTTGCATTCACACAATGTTGCTGCTGTTTTTTTTAGCTTCTTCTTGGGGCATTTTCCATGGCCATTGGCGCAAGTCAGAATTGTCGCATGTTCTCGTTCTCGGTCTCGCGTTCTCCCAACCAACACAGTCGCGTAAATTGAAAGCTTGGCTAATACCATTAACATTTGATGGCTAACAACTGTCCGCCCCCCTGTCCGACCCATGTCCGCTGCTGTCCGCACAAGGGAACTGACGCAAAATCTAACCGAATGCTGTTAATTGCAAACTTGCCCCCCTTCCCGTTTTGGCTGTATGCAACATTCGACAGTGTGCCGCAGCCGAATCGTTATCTTGACCCGATTATCGCCAATTCGATTGCCTCCAAACCAAATACAAAGAATCGAGCAAATTAAATGATATCTGATCTGCTATACTCATTTGCTGTGGTGCACATAATCGAATCTCTAAACTACTTTCTTTAATCGGAGCTCTTTACTCTTTGACTGAAGAAATGATACCATTCAAGTGGCCAGCAAGATGTTCTTTTTATCCAGACAACCAGATAGATCCTATAGATTTCATGCTTAGTGATCCCTGATGTCTCTATATTTCAAGTGAAAGAATTAGTTCTTTAGGAAGATGTTCTTCGAGAATGAAAATATAAATATGTCAGAGAAGAAGTGCCCCCGTTTATGGGTATTCCACTCGCAGATCTTTTACTCCAATAAATTTTCCTGCTTTTTCACACGATTTGGTTTAGTTTGAAATGGATTGCAGTAGTATTAAAAACCACTTGTTGAGATATTTTCAGAAATAAATTCTAGCGGGAAGATCGTTCTAGATCGTTTCCAGATTTTCTTTCAGGATATGCCTGTTTTGCTTTCCCATTGTAGGGCCTCTTATGTTGGCACTCTCTTTGGCTAAGCAAATATAGGCCACATAAAACTCCTCGGATCGGTGGGTGTTTGTTTTTGTACGCATTCCCGTAGGCCGGATTGCCCCGATGCGTATGCCTTCCAGTCACGCTGTATTTTCTGGTTTTGTGCGTTCGGATGCACCAGGGGCTCACATGCCCCTGCCAATGGGGGGCGGGCGCCACATGTGTAGGGAGATGTGGGTGGGTGCGCCTCTGGCCTGCACCTCTCTGTTGCGGCACACGACCTCGGGCTCCATTCGCCTGTTGCCCCAAAGCAGACGAGAAAATAAACATATAATATTGAATAATATTTTGCAGCATGCCACATGGATGCGTGCCGCGTTCTGGCCAGCAGCCAAGGCACAAAAGTGTGGCACATAATCAAATTAAATTGTGCCCCAGCTGCTGCTGCTGCTGCTGCTGATGCTGCTGCTGGTTCCGCGATTCCGATTCCCGGACACACTTTAGTAAGCGGCTTACTGGACCAGGGATTGGGGGCATGACCACGACGGCACCCTCATCAATCTGTCAAGATCTTCTATGAGAGATTTGATGGGATTCCGCTGCCAGACACGTCCATCAGCATCTGACATAAGTGGATGATGGTGGCTGTTTCCCACTGGAATTTCCACTTGTTGTTTCGTCTCTCGATTTTCAAGGGCAGACATTTATTTTTAAGCAAAGCAGAGCATCAAAATCTAAATGTTTTTGATTGAGCAAAAAAAAAAAAAAAGAAAAAACTTGGCAAGAAATCGTAAAATATTTACTGAAAATATGAAAATACTTGGAACACTCAATGCCATTGCTATTCCCTCCACTTGATTCCATTTCTAAGAATAATTAATGAAACCTTTTAACTAAAAGGAAATTCTCTTTCTATTCTCTTTGCAGATCGACCAATTTGCTTAACTAAAAGTCTTGAAAATATCAACTGCTGCTGCAAACTGTATGACTGATTTATGAACTGGGGAACAGAAACCCCCACGAAATTAACTCCCTAAGAACTTTATATAGCCTTTACACCCAAAATAATAAACCTTAGCCACCTTTTTGGAGGAATGAACGGCTTGCTATCGCTAGAAGCTTCAGCTATTTATTGACCCAAGTAACCAAGTAGCTAGCTAACACTTGCAATCGATCAATCAATCAATCAGCAGATATACACGAACGACAGATAGAAGAGGAGCAGATAGACATTGAAGACATAGAGCAGCATCATCAGGACCTTAGGGAGAGGAGGAATGCAGCGGTGTCCCTACATACATGAGATGCGAGAACGTTTGCTGGATCAGCCACGGGAGACACTACAATTGGAGAACATGGAGCGGGCCAATCTGCTCGACAATCGACAGTCGGCCTCCGAATCAAATCAGGTCGGCACTGTGGTCAAGGTACGGGCTATTCGATATACTCGTTACAAGGATTCCCCTCAATCATATGCAATATAACTCATTCAAATACACACACTCACAACTCAAATACACAGCTCATCCATAATCCAACATCCATCAGACATCGCTTTATCGCTGGAGTTTGTTCTATTGATAGACAGAAACAAATGTATCTGTTTTATACTTTTCTAGACAGTATTCTATGGTGGAAAGCTTTTGGCACAATGTTTAATCATAGCTTAGCCGATTTCTATCATAACCAAAACTTATCAAATTTCCTTAATTTTAACATTTCAATCTTTCAAAAATAAAACCTTAACCAAATTCTGAATTAGTTTTAAAACAAAGCAAAAGTTTTCTTTATTTCTTTATTTCTTATTTATAAAAAAGTCCCAAAATAGGACAACCCGAGGACTGTAATTAGAATATACTAAAAAAAAAAGTACTTCCAAAATTCTATGCCAAATTCAGGACTTCTACTTGAGCTGTAATCGTGGAAGTCCCTGCTTGAACACCTTCTGTGATCAATAAAAAAAAAAAAAAAAAAGCAAAATAATAATAATAATAAAATCATCAATGAATCGTCAAATCAGACGTGGAGGCCAAATAAATCTTTCAACTAATCACGGTTGGAAGTAACTTAATATCAAATAAAAAAAAAAATTTTTCTCGAGATATAAAAAATATAAATAAAAAACTAGACCTATTGGTCTTTACGGCAAAATTGCTGTGACCAACCAATCTGCCATCGTTACGGTGGTCAAAGCCCAAGAATATGATACAAGAATAATAATAAAACCACAAAAAATACTTGAATATTATACAATAATACTATTTTTGCTGGTTTAAAACTAATTTTGATTGGGTAATGGAGAGCAGAGCTTTAAGAACTCTTTACACCCAGAATTTAAATAAAACAAAGGTTTTGGACCATATTTCAATAACTTGATGGAAACACATTTAATCACTCCACTTCACTACAATGTAACATACATTTCATATATACAATATTTACCAATAATATACATACATACATCGTGCGCACAATGAATACTTCCAACATCCACTCGAAGATCCTGTAAATATTGCATATGAATTATAACCAAACTAAACAGATTTTATGGCGTGTGCGTGTGAGTGAGTGTCTGTTTTGTGTGGTAGATTTATATATTTAAAGATTTTTTACCATTATAGAGAAGAGAACCAAAAATTGATGAACCAAAATCCTTGCACGAGTAACCGATTCGCCCTTAACTTTATGTTCCTCGAAAACTTAACTGAAAACAAAAAAAGAAACCAAAAGAGAGAGAAAAACCCTCTCATGAGTAATATGATTTCTGGCAATAAATTGGAATTGTTTCGATATTATTTTTGAACATAAAAAAAATGCATGCAATACGCTTACTCAAAACCATCTACTATATGTACCTATAATATATATACCATATATATTTATCGCTGTATATAACATGTAACATCTTGTACTATACGACATTCCAATTTATTGTTTAAAAAAAAAAGCTAACAAGCGATATACGGAGACGAGAGTTTAATTCCCGATTTTACTTAATACCGATTCAAACAGCTACAGGGAGATGGCTATCACACGAGTCCTGCACATCAGCGCACACCGCTAGTGCCACATGATCTGGGCGAGGACTTCAATTTGGATTTCGACGATGACTTCCCGATCGATGCCCGAAGACCGAAAAATGCAAAGTAAGTGCGTTCCATGGACACATGAACCACATGATACTCCGCCCCCCACCATCACTCTATATGTGTTCTTTTGTGTTCCATTTCCGTTTAACATCCATCCGAAACTGTACTAAGCTTTCATTCCATTCGTTCCTTCGTGTTCCTTTTCCGCAAAAGTTTTCAGCCGCTAAAAAGAAAGACTGTCGCCCCCCATCTTCCCATTAATTCTCCGTCTGTTCATCTCTCGATCTCTGAGAACTCTCTCTATGTAGTCTATGATCCTTAGATATCGTATCGTAGTAATTTTGAAACCCTTCTCTTAACCGTAAACCGTAAAAAGTTTTCAAATTAATCAAAGTAAGAAACCGTTACAGCGGCATACTTCAACCGGTTCTGACGCGCCCACAGCCAAGGTCAGATTTGGTATTATTCATATGACAAAAACAATCCTTTATATATATATATATATATTATACATATAGTATATACCATAGATAGTTCCTTCTTATAACCGTATGACTCTATCCCCACTAACATCCAACCCCCAGAATCTTTGGCTTAGCCTCTCACTCACTTACGTTCCTGGTACATAGATCTTTCACCTGCATCTTGCATGATGGCTTTTCCAGTAATGCACCCAAAAAAAAATTTAACCCCAGATCTTGAACCATCCAAGGAGGGAATATCCGCTTATATCCTCTGTACAGTCTAAGCCCCGAATTTATGCAGCTTTTATTGTACTTCTTTTTGGCATCCTGCGGATTATAATGTCAATGAACTAAGGACACATCACAGACACAGGCTCAGGCACATTGCCTTACATTCCCGATGCTGTGGCATTGTTGCCGCTCCTATTTAACAAATAAGTAGGAAAATAGCTTACACAATGTACTGACTGGGGGGGAACGGGAATGGGAATGGGCATGGAAAAAGAGAAGTTGCAAACAAATTACGCAACTTGACAAACCGACAGAGCATTCCACTCGGCTGGGCTGGGCTGGCTGGGCTGGCGCTGCGGCATGCACTGTCAGGCCGTAGTGGAGAGTGCCCCATCTTTGTCTCTGGCATAAAGTGTCATTGTACGAATGACTTACATTCATGAAAAGCAGCCAAAGACAAGGCACACAAGGGGGGGGGAAAACGCGACAGGAAAACTACTTATCGATGCTTGGCATAGGGCCAAGAGGCACTCTCCAGACTCTCCAGAACATGGCTTTCCAAAGTAACTTATTGATTCGACTGAAATCTATTTGCGGAAGGCTGCGGCTACAGCTACCGCTACGTCTGTGGCGGTGGCTATTCCCCTGGCTATAGCCTTGTACTGGAATTATCACCCGATTAGGCACAAGGTTTGGGTACAACCCCCAATAATCGCACTCGTGTGACTTCACTGCTTTTTGTTTTATAAATAATAGCTTCAGACCTTCTGATAAAGACCTCATCTGCTCATAAGCTAAAAATATAATTAGGCAAGAGGGCACGCAACCCTTCTTCCATGCTGTCTAAAGGGGTGGCAGATGAAAGGCCGCCACAGTAATTATAGCCATACATCCAAGAGGGTGAGTAGCCCTGCCCCTACGACTCTGCCACTCTTCAACCTTCCATCATTGATCCGAATTAGCTTTCCAAACAATGCTGTGATGATTAAAGATGTTTACAGGGTTCTTAGTGTAGGAATACGAGACTAAGTATGTAATTAGTTAAGTAGGAGTTGCTTGTTGAAACTTACAACTATACTGCGGAAAATGCTGTTTGATATCAGGCATATACTCTCGAAGATTCAGTGGTGAACCAAGTAGCAAAGTTCTTAAGTGCAAGCATAATTATAACCGTAATCAAAAAGAGTTAATTGGTATATTGTATTTGTGGTAAAAGTGGATGTGTGCAATGCAGAGAAGGTATATACATTCTTGATCAGCATCAATAGCCGAGTCAATATAGCCATGTCTCTCTGCCCGTCCGTCCGTCTGTCCCGATGAGCGCCTAATTCTCAGAGACTATAAGAGCTAGAGCAACCAAATTTCAGATGTAGAATAAACATGTTAGATGTGGATGTAGATGACAGATGAAGCAAAAAAATGTAAAATATTTTAAAATTTTACATAAATCATAAGCTAACAAATTTATGAGTACAGTATACATTCTTGATCAGCATCAATAGCCGAGTCGACATGTAAGTTACGGGGATAAAAGTAGAGTCGCGTCCACAGTAGCGACTCACACGTTCCTTCTCGTTTTTCTTAGTTTTGGAAGGTTTCTGGAAGGTTATCACGAGTAAAAAATGGTTTCAAATGTATTTTAGAAAATAAATTCTTAAAAATGAATATAACAATGCAAAATACTGAAGATACACGAGTAAACTTCTTAAATGCAGAACTCCTAGGACTCATATTAGATATTAGATAGTTATTCGACTACGTTCCTAAGTCGCATCATTTTTTATCTTTTGAATTTCTTTATGCCAAAATAAGTTAAAGATGATTATAATTTCATGATGTTGAACTTTGTGGCCTGTAATTTCCATAATTATTGTGTGCCCATCATCAATGAAACGTGGCTATCGAGAACTCCCACAGATGATTGCAGATGTTTCCAAAAGGAGTCGACTCTCATCGATTGGGGTTTTTTTTAAAAGTATTTTTTTTGCGTTGCTAGCGGGATTAGAGTGTGTGTGGCAGGCATTTGGGTCATGCATCCTCCTCTGGCTGGGATCAGGGTGCGGCTCATGCCTCATGCCCCATGCCTTGTGTCTGTCTGCCACTCCAGGCACAACTACGACGCAGTATTGGAGTTGCGACGCAAATCCTTATCCGAGTAGTCCCTTTTTTACACTCCTGTGATTCCACTGCTGCAACCCCTTTGCCACAACACGGGGCAGTGGCCACAGACCGCGGACCACGGGGCATGGGGCACGCACACTGCAGTCAATGGCTGCGGCATGGCATACGGCCATAACCGGCAGTTGAGAACGGTAGTACAGAGTCCTGGAAGCGTACAGATTCCTGCCGGGGGGCGGCAACCCAGCGAATGTGCAACCAAAACAGAATCCGAAACATTTTGGTTGTTGTGAAATGCGCACAAAGCGGAGCCCGCAACAGAGAGACGGCGAACGGGCGGCACAAAAGGGAGCGAGCGCTAGAGTTACGATAAAACCGAAAGCAGGACGAAAAGGACGACGACGGAAACGAATGGATCAGACAGCATGACGACGCGTCGTCGTCGGCTTTACTATATCGTAAGTTCTCTGCCACAAGCTGCTGCGCTGCCGCTGCCACTGCCACACGCTGCTGCCGCGCTGCTCTCCTCTGCCACTGCGCACAATGGGCCGCGCACCGATTCAATTGGGAGGATTAGATGGAGAAGTGGCAACGGAAAGCAGCTAACGACAAGGATCTAATGAGACGCACAAAGCATAGCAACACCTCCACGTGGAAAGATCTAAGGAAGGACAACGAATGACAGCAAACATTCAAAAAGAAATTTATTGAGTTGAATATACAAAGGGCCATTTCATAGCTCTACAAAAGCCTTCGTTTGCCCGTTGCATATAAAACATTGAAATTCATTCTTGGATATTTCAAAAAGATGACTGCATCGCGCCGTGCTGCAGCGCTCCTCAGTTGATATCTCAGCTTGGTCCTGATGTAGAAGAGCGTAATAGAAATCTTAGAATTATGTATGATAATAATACAAGAAAAGTTCACGGTACAGACACATATAAAATACGACTCTCATGGAGTAAAGATGACTAGAAGCCAGAAAATAAATTATGTAATCCTGAAATAACGCTTTGATGGAGCAAATCCTTACTATATGGACTCCGAACATTGAATAAATTTCTATTAAAGTTGAATTTTATGAAATATTTTGATCAAGCAATTGGAATCTTCACATAAATCAAAAGAAATCAATAGAAAAATAGTACCCTGATGAAAATCTACAAATAATCAGCACTCCTAATCGTACAATAGTTCCCTTTCAATCCCTAAGTGAACTTCCCCGCCCCCCAAATGAATAGTGAGCTGCTTTATAGCCACACCATCCACTGTGCCCGTGTGCCTGCTCAATGTTCTGGGGTTGTTCCGGCACAGTGGATGTAAGAGCCATGCCATGCCATGCCCTGCCATGGCGAGTAGCTGGTAGTAAAAGGCAGTAAAAGCAGCCGTAATTGAGTTTTGGGCTGTTGCTTTTCGATGACTGACGGCTGCTGGGCCGGCCCCCCACCCTCTTTCAATTTTTGATGCCTGCTGCCATCTGATGCCTGCATCCTGGAGCCAGCCAGCCAAGCATCCATTGATTGGCATGTCAACCTCAACCCTTGGGTTGCAAGTGACCCATTTACATGGAGCAGGCCTGTCTAGCTGCCACAGGAGGAGCCAGTAACTGGAAATGTAACTGAAACTGCAACCGAAGCTGTGATGGATGCTAAACAAAGTGTCTCACACTGGCCTGCCCACCGATTCAATACTCAATTAAGAGATAGCAGGAAGAGGATGGCCAGAGGCCTCGCTGTATGGCCGGGGCGAAAACATTTCAATCAAGGAAATCAAGTGTGCTCACTTCTATATGCAAATCGACTCTGACAACAAAACGAAATGAAACACAGAATGTGTCCTACTTTTTGGCATACACTACCGAAATTTCCCCTACAGACCAGCAGGCAGCAGACAGCAGGCAGCATCCCAGCTCTAGGTGTATCCTGAAACAGAAAGAGAGAAAGAGAGAGAAAGAGAGAGAGATTCGGCGCACTCTGAGGGCGGTTACTGCTGCTGCTTGATTCTGCTGCTGGATGCTGCTGGACCTCCGATGAGACGAGGCCTCGACGAGCCATTTCAGTTGTAGTTGGATAGTAGAGGCTCTTGGACGTGTTTTGTGTGAAACGTTCGCAAGGTAAAGCCTCGAGATAAGGAGCAGCACCAGTCTGGCAGAGGGAATCAAATCCATCAAAGAACATAGCATTCTATGCATTTTCTATTTATTTATTGTTTTTTTTTATCCGTGAAAAGAACCTTTAAAGTGTGCGAAAAACCAGTGCTGAACAGTGAAGTGTTTAAAAGAAATGAAATGAAAAAAATAAAATAAAACCCATTTACTCGTATACTTTGACTGGAAAGAGGCTTTTACCTGGCTCGAAACCGAAACAATTTGCAGAAGATATTTATCTAGTGTCTATACCCATATACATATACCATCCGTAGAATGAAGTGGGGTTTTTTTTTTTTCCTTACGAAAGCTTGCAATTTACTGTGGGGCCAGGCCTCCAGAAAACAGAAAACAGAAACCAGAAACCAGAAGCCAGAAAGCCTTTTGATGGGGCACTAATACACAGCTTATTATACAGACAAGAGAGAGAGAGAGAGGGGGAGAGCCCTCAAGATTCAAGTGGAGCTATATACCAGAATGGGGATATATATATATATACATATATAGCCGATCCAATGCATACACACGCAGCCGAAGGACTCCACTCTCCGTGCTCCGTGCTCCGTTCGTTTGGGATACACTTTCCCCGCCCGGAATGCGAATTTGCGAGGGTTGAAATCACAGTTGTTTACCCGGGGACTGGGGCTCCGCTCCGCTTTGTTTGGGGCAGAGAGAGAGAGAGAGAAAGAGAGAGAGAGAGAGGTCAGTAGGTCGTCGGCTCCCCGGGATGCAGTCCAAAATAGAAAGCGCGGCTTAAGGCCACGCCTCATTTGCCCATTTGTCAAATGCATTTCAAATGCGTTCCACAAAAATCACAAGAAATCAGAAAGAGAGAGAACGAGCAGCAGCAGCAGCAGCAGCAGTAAGGGATGGCTAGGGAAAGGAGAAAGGAGAGAAAGACCAAGAGAGAGATAGCGAAAGAGGGAGAGCGAGAGAGAGTGAGTGAGTGCCCGGGAGCGTAGGTGGAGGGAAAGAGAGAGAGAGAGAGAGAGGGAGAGCTAGCGAGGGAAATTCTGTTGCATATTTCCGTGCAGCAGCAACATCAAGAAACAGCAACAAAAACCAAATTAACCCCCCGCGAAAATTACTCTGCAAATTGTTTCGTTTCGTCTCGTTTTTAGAGTTGCAAAACAAATAGGGAAACGGAAACCATTGAAAACTGTAACAAAAAAAAAAAAACACATTACAAGTGGAAGACAAAGGGGAAAACTATCGAGAACTATCGAGTCTATCGGGCAATCGATAAATCGAGAATCAACTAGAAATCGTCGGGTATCGAGCAGCAGAAAAATAAAAGCCAGCACAACGGAGACCGAAACGGAAACGGAAACCATGGGCGGCGGTGAAGTGAAGGTCGCTACCGTCGATGTGGAGGGCGGAGACAATATGGCCACACTGCCGGTCTCCCGCTCCCACACCGCCGGCAGCACCGATAGCGCCGAGAAGAATAATGCGGCCAACAAGGAAATGGAGCTCAAGAATGTCATGCCGCAGCCGTTGCAAAGGTGCGAATCGAATCGAATCCAACAGAATCCAAAGTTTATCCATTCAAAGGGGGAATCATCATCATCATCAGTGGCGGGGGGGAGTAGGGAGTGTGGGTAGTGGGAGCCCTTGTGTATAACATCTTTTGGCAGCCACTCGAAACACACAGATACACACACACACATTGTATATACCACACAAGTATGCTATGGCCCACAGGGCAACCTCCACCCGCAACAACCGTAGTAGGACCCAGCTAACTGTCTCTCTTACATGCTCCCCTTTCTTCGGAAGATTAACCCTTGCTCCATCCCTTAGCCCACCCATGCAGCTATGTAAAACCAAAAACTTAAAACCAAAAACCCAAAACCCCACCCCAAACCAAACCAAAACCACACGCAGAACCAGAAATATCTGAATATCTTCAATCTTATAGGGTTTGCTACACGTTCAAGCCAAATCCAAATAAACACAGTTTTATGCCAGCGAAAATAACGGTACAGGGCACATATCAAACAAATCCAATAACGGGACCAATCGAACTATGGTAATATGATACCTCTGCTGATAATCCAGCACCATCCATATACCCCGTTCCATCAAACCCATCCAGAAGTGTTCCAGTGTTACCCTCGTGCTTCCATAATCCTTACATCACACGAGCTTATGTGTACACAGTGGATTGTGGGACTATCTCCTGAATACATAGATATTTGTATATGCAATAAGACAATAGACAACCAACATTCATTGTTAGAGTGATAAAAGGGATGCCATTTACATGGAAAGTTCCCTTTTCCAGAACGCCTTCTATGCCTAAGGGCAAGACACAGACACAGGTTTTATTACATTCAATTTGTAAGTGAAAGTTCACTCCCTTATGCAAAAGATTTCTTTATAAAAAGATCCTCATTAAAGGGTTGGAAATGTCGGGAATATTCTACGCATCATCTAAGGTTATTCTGCTTGAGAATTGGGAAACTTTATCCCCCATGGCAACCATCTACATATCTATTAATTGCCAATCTAAATGATGCATAAATTGTTTGCTTAAATCGAAATCTAAATCTGTAAATTTCTGTGGGATACCTACAGACATTCCATTTCCGTTTTGACATAGTTTCTCCTCCAGTTCTCAAGGATATGTCATCATTTATAGCAGATATGATATGCATTATGCATGTTCAATAAATTCACCCTCCAGATTTGATGCTGCACGGCAGCTCACCCCTTTTTCACATAGAGGAATGGGGTGGGTTGCTGGGTGCTGGGTGCTGTGCTGCATGCAAATGAGTGACTGCCTAAGCAGGGGGGCATGGCACGCGCTTTGTGTGTATTTTAAGCTGCAGCCAAGTCAAGTCGCTGATGCCGCTAACTGGGTCACTAAAATGACTGCCTGCAAATGAGTTGTTGCATGGCACACACACAAACACAAACACACAAACACAGTGGGGGTGGCATCAAAATGATATGAATGTTGGCTGTGGAATGTGGACTGGGGCTGTACAGTGTGCAAGAAGGAGAGAGGGGTAATCAAATATCAAATAAGGGCTAATACACGGCGACTGTTATGCTCTCGAGCTGTCAAGAGAGGCGTAGAGAGAGGCGGCTGCACTTGAGATGCTCATTGAGAGTATGCATGTAGTTGCATGTCAGTCACACAGATACACACACACACATACAACACTTACACTTATACTACTACGAAAGTAGAAGATTGAGACACTCTCGCACTTGCAAAAACCGGGATAGTGGGTCAACTCAGAGGGGGGAGTTGCAGCCAGATCTTGACACACACACACACACTAACAACAGCACCCTACCCAACACACACACACACGTATGAGCACCCATCCCCAGAGTTTACCCATTTTTGATACATTTCTGAAGTCAGGCAACTAATGATTCCCCCATCCGCCCAAACAGGACATCGCTATTTATCGTGACCAGCCTGGTGTACGCGATCCTCCTGATCGTCGTGTGCATTGCATACGTGATCAGCGATGTGACCACACACCGCCTGCCAGTGCTCTACTATGAGACATTCTTCACGTATCTGTACGGCGTCAGCATACTCTTCCTCCTCTACGTATTCTGTTTCCTGCTGCAGGGTAAGTTCCTTTTAATAGAGGGGGGAATATCTTCACGTCATCTGTCACTGTGTGTTCCATCAGAGAGCTCTTGCTGCAATGGCGGCAATGGCAATGGCAATGGCAGCAAACCGAAACCCCAACCCAAGGAGAAGAAATCGAAGAAAGCCAAGAATGCCGATCCAGCCGATTCGAAGGAAGCGAAGGGCTCCAAGGACTCTGGCAAAGCAGCTGTCAAAGGCGCCGCATATCAGGTAACAATAACGATTTTTGATGATTTCTATTCAAAGTGGAACACATAAAGGGTCCTCCCTAATTAAAAAACTAATAATAAAAAAAAAAAATAAATAAATAAATTATTTTGACAATGTAATGAGCGCCACATGTCTAAATATATTAGCAAGTGGAGAAATTATGTTAGATGGACTTCAGGCTATGCTTTAAGTAGATTTATTCCTATTCATGGATCTTTTACGAATCTAAGATAGATTTAAATCATTATAGATGGACTTAGGCTCTACTTTCCGCGCCCGCCCCCCGCGGGGCCGGGCGCCAAGCAACCCGCAAACCGGCTACCGCGCCTTCAAAATAGCAAAGTTCTTTACACCGACGTAATCTAGCGGCCCCCGCAAAAAACACCCCCTGGGTTTGTCCGGGAAAGGTGCCAGTGTTATCTGTGATCTGTGGGGGTCCATTTGAAACCATTTTGATCATCGCTTTCCAATCATTCAATTGATCTTCAAATCAGATCTTTAGCCTTCAGCTGTCTGTTCAGTTGACGTTAGCTGATCTCTCGTAAGAATCAAAGGCATTTAAATATTTAATTCAATCAAGAACCTCAACAAAAGTGATCCACAGATGCATTTCCATGGGTAAACATTCAATAGATATTCACTGTTCGCGCCCCCAAAGCGCCTCTGTTCTGTTAATTGTGCTGTGAGGCCGCATCAATTATGGGTCATATGCGAATTTCCTATGGCATTGAATGTCTAATTCTCTCTCTCTCTCTCAATCTCTCATTCTCTATCTGTGCAGGAAGCACCCGTGGATGCCGAGGTGGCCGTCACCCCGAAGAATGTACGCAAGAGGAAGACCACACATAGCGATCCGACGCACGGCAGCTTCTTTCTGCGAGTGGGAGCCATTGGTAAGCCATTGGGAGCCAGTGCAGGGTGTGTGTCCCATGGAACTGATTTTGGGTGTGGGGGTTCTGTGTTCTGTGTACTGTGCAGCATTCGGTCTGGGCGCCATGATCTATATTGGACTGGAGTTTGGATCGTTCTTTGAGATACCCTTCGACTCGCCCTGCCATCACATACTGATCGGTGTGAATCCGCTGCTCCAGATGATATTCACCTTCATGCAAATGTACTTTATATTCATGAACGCACGGGTAAGTGTCGATGCCATCCATCATTGTCTGTGTGTTTAACTAAAGAACACTGTAAGCGTATGACTACAACTACTACTACTACTACTACTACTACTACCTTCTACTACTACTACTACCACCTACTACTACTATTATCCTACGGCTATTCTGTAATCGTATGTTAAATGTTAAACAAACAATAAGTACACGAAACCACATCCCCAAGGCTTCCAAAACAGTTCGAGGTTAGTCAGTCTCTTCCATCTGCCACCTATCTCTAGAGTTCGGGATTCGGGATTCGGGCTCGGGTTCGGTTCGAGTATTCCGGGTACTCGGGTAACTCGGTTTCGGTGTTTGGGAATCATTAGGCATCCGGTTACGGTCAACTCGGTCTCTCACCCTCACCTTTTATCTGTGTGTGTGCAACGTATCGCTATATCGATGTATCTATATCTGGCGTGATAATTGGCAGTTATGCAATTGAGTTGTGTTTCAGTTGAGTTTTCATTCATGCATTCGCGCATCTGCCACTGCAACTGCAACAACATTCGCATCCATATATCATATACTCCACTCGTACCACAAAAACCGCTATTCACATCATCTACTTATTCGCTTGCCATGCTTCTCTCTCTCTCTGTCTCTGTCTTTGTCATTGTCTCTGGCTCGAACGTAATGCCACAACAACCCACAACAAGTGGCATCCACCCACTCATAGTGCTCTTAGTCTAGTGCTATTCGGCTGGGGTCGAATCGATCAACCACCATTCATCACACCATTCATTCCACCAACACGCAACAATAACACGCATTTCAAACCCTCATTCCATTTCATTCATCCATCAATCCATATCCATACATCCATCAATGCATTCATTGTTTTTTAAATAAATTTTTGTCGAAATTTGCTAAGTAGTTATTTAATGAAAACCATTTTTGTGTACATAATCCCACAACAACCGCCCCACAATTCGCGCGATCGCAGACTAGGCCACCATTTCAGGTACGATATGCAAATCATTTTCTACTCTACTCTACTCTACTCTACTGTACTCTCTACTACTCCCCACTCTACGCTCATTTCTCACACTGTATACCGCATATACAATAACATATGTACATCCCACATATCACAGACATACTCGTATCTGTGATATGTTCACCGATACTCGTATATGATAACCACTAGACTACAATATCTGTCTCTCTCTCTCTCTATAACTTACAATAACAATAAGGGATCGATCCATGTCTGATGTGGCAGTTTGGTTTTTGTTTAGTTGTCCCACACCCACCCACCGATTACCCCTTGCAGAGTTCTCGAATAACAAAAATTTATGCACATAGAATAGCTAATCTGTTAGAGCGATTCAAAGGAATCCACAGCCTTACTCATTCCAGAGTTCAATGCTCTCGAACATTACGAATCTTCTGCGTGAGTGTTTCAAAGGCTTCGAGTGCCTTCGAGTGCGTTCGAACGCGTTCGAATGCATTCGGTTTCGTTCTCCAATCGTTATCCAAAAGAGAGAAAAAATTGGAACAGTTTATCTGACATTTTCTTTAGCATATTTCCGCATCGAAAGTAGCACTTATATCCGGCCTATGTTTGCTTAATATTCACGCTAAAGAAGACAGAAATCCTTTGAACTTTGATGAGTTCTCTCTGGGGAACCTCTGCAGGGGGTGGTCGTGGATACGGTTCGGTTCGTCCGAAGCCGATTTTTACTTGTAATCTACGTAATCAATGTACCTGCAACCCAGCGGCATTCAAAGAGTCTCAGTCGTACTCAAGCGCCCCCACCCGGGCACTGCTCTCTCTCTCTCTCTCTCTCTCTTTTCTCTGTTTCTTGATCTCTGTCTGAACTTGCAGCTGAACATCCACCGATTCAAGGTGATTGCCCGCTTCGGGCTGATGCATGTGGTGGCCACCAATATTTGCGTGTGGATCCGGACGCTGGTGAAGGAGTCGCTGCTGGAGATCACCATCTGGCACCAGAAGAACGAGCCCGATCCGGAGGCCTCGTCCATAGCCCACTCGGTGCGGCAGCATGCGCTGCGGCATGCCGGCACCGTTCTACGCACCCATGCCGGCCCGAACAGCGAGTTCGAGGTGCTGGACGGGGAGGATCTGCTGCCGAAGGATGTCTACAAGAGCGACAATGTGCTGTCCAAGCTGGTGCGCAACACCGTCGACGGCATCTCGAAGAGCCTGGGCATGGGCGGGGATGTGGCCAGCAGCACAGCGCGGAGCATTGTCAGCAGCAGCACCACCACCCGGGCACCGTACACGACGGCCGGCTATCAATGGCACAGCACTACTATGGCCCGCAAGCTGAAGAAGTTTATCACAAGTGCCACCACAGCAGCCACCACAACGGGCGGCAGCCCCAGTACCATTGCCAGCACCACCACCACCTTCGGCACAACCACCACCACCACCAGCCCATTGACCACCACAACCACCGCCATACCCATTTCCGCCGGCGGCAGCACTGCAACGGACGCCATCAGCAGCACGACCAGCGAATCGACCTTCAGCGGCCTCCAGCGACTCCTCACCAGCGCTGCCCCGAGTCTGACGCCAGTCGATGGGTCCGCCTCCTCGGCGTTGCCCGCTGCTGCCACTGGCAGCGTCTCCTCGTTCCTCAGCAGCTTTGTCGCATCCACGCCCAGCAGCGGCATCGGTGCCAGCACGGAGGGCCCGGTGAACATCATGAACAACCTGTTCGGACCCGGCATGGAGAACAGCTTCCAGACCTACTCGGACATATCGCACGAGGAGTCCAGCGGCGGCCTGGTGGCCTTCGAGAATCTGGAGAGCCTGGACAGCATCTACCCGGCGGCGCTGTCTTCCAACATTGGCACACTCAACTCCACCGCCTGCGGGCGCATCGATATTATGGGGACCATTGTGTACGACTCGGCGCCGTATCTTTATCCGTTTATCATTGAGTATTCGCTGATCGGTGCGGTGGTTTTGTATGTCATGTGGAAGCACATCGGCCGCTATCCGGGACGGATGAACGACGAGGATCTGGAGCATCGTTTGGAGGTGATGCTATCGCGTCGTGCCGTCGCCATGGCGCAGCAGGCACGCTCCGGTCGCGTCGACTGCGTTGGCTCGTCGAAGGGACTGTTCTTTGGTCTGCTGCTGTTGGTCGGCGCCCTCATTTGCCTGATACTCTTCTTCGTCTTGGTGCGTCATCAGCAGTTCTCGCTGTTGGCCATTTACCTGGCCGATGCCAGCCACTGCATCCTCATGGCCTTCGCCATACTGGCCATCATAGTGGGCTTCATCAGGTCTGGTTCTCCATATTCCTCATCAAGAATATTTCCCTACCTTTGCTCTATTTTCGATCCGCACTAACAACACTCTCTACTGCATTCACAGGGTGAAGAATCTCAAGTTCCGCTGCGAGGAGCAATCCAATCTGAACGACATCTTGTTGCGCATCTCGGCCTTCGGCCTCTTCACCTACTCCGTGTTCAGCATCATTGCCGGCAGCATCAAGGTGCTGGAGAGCGAGCCCAGCCTCCTGGTGACGACTACCGGCGGTGTGGCCGTCTTCCAGGTGATCTTGCAGCTGCTCTTCATCGCAGATGTATCGCGGCGTCGCGTCCACTTGCCGGAGCATGATCGCAGCAAGCCCGGCCGCCAGATTGTCACCTTCCTACTCATCTGCAACGTGGCCATGTTCGCCATCTACACATTCGAAGCTCAAAAAGTATTCGCCAATCCTGTAAGTAGATATGTACGTAAGCGAGACTGAGTTAAGTAAAACGATTAACGCTCTCGTTCTCTAATCGTTCCGTTCTGTACGTTCCACTCTAATTAATGTTTAACTCGATATGTACCCATCTATCCTCATCTCCCCAATGTACATGCATTTTGTTCGTGTGTTTCATATGATTTATGCATGTTTCTGGCACTAAAAGTCCTGCATGAATCCACAGCTACACTCAACCCAGAGTTCATTTCGAATCACACTCGAATCGCTCGAACTGCTCGGAACTGTTCGAACTGTTCGAACAGCTTGAACTGCTCGAACTGTTCGAACAGCTTGAACTGCTCGAACTGTTCGAACAGCTTGAACTGCTCGAACTGTTCGAACTGCTTGAACTGTTTGAACTTATGTGTGTTCATGCAGGGTTCCACCAACCTTGCATTCGTTACTTTGGTATCGAATGACTAAAGCTTCTGTGTTGTACTCATGCATGTTGTTTGTGTTAGCTTACGAATCGTTATTACTATCGAATTATTCAATCCACCTAACTAATATCCAAATGGATCCTATTTCGAATCTACAGGTTCAGCTTGAGTTCTATGGCTTTGTGCCCTGGTCCATCATTCAGCGCATTACACTGCCGCTGTGCATCTTCCATCGGTTCCACAGTGCCGTGACACTTGCCGAGATCTGGAAGACCACCTACAAGGCACGCCTGGAGTAAGCAGGGAGGCGGCATGCAGGCTGCAGTCAGTCCTCCCCCCCCACCCCCAGGCCGCTGGATGTCGAGGGAGCTATGAAAATGCACCAAACAAAAACCAAAATGTAGCGAACCCACAAACCAAAACGCAAACAGAAATCAAGTGAAAAAAGTTAGTTTCTAATTACGTATTAAACATTATGCAAGCAAAAACCTACCGTTTAATTATATATATTATATATACTTTTTTTGTTTTGTTTATTGTTTATGTTTTTAGTTTACGCATACGAATAGGTTTAAAACAAAGGCATAAGCGATACCAATGCGAAAAATTCAAGCGAAACGAAACGAACGAAATTTAAATTGAAATCGAAACGATCGATAAACGATCAGAAAAGGGGCATAGAGGCATATGCAACCCTACTTGTGGAGTGTGGAATGAAATGATGATGATCACATCGGTCATCGGTCGCTTAATGCTTTCTCCATTTGCTTTTCTTATTTTTTAGTTTGTTAATCATGGAAATCATGGAATCTAAGAACTAAGTCATAGTGTTTACAGAAACCACTCCCCCCCCCAGAATCACATGGCACACGAATGCGTTTAATCTCAGTTGAATATTCAATTATTAGTTAATTTCCTTAACACGCTGCAGTACGATACCACGATAATATTAATTTTATAATTGTTTTATCATTATCCAAACATAAAAAAAGAAAAAACAAAAACAAAACATAAAAAAAACCAATTAAAATTCATATAACTAATAAGAAGTGAAATTATTCTACAAAATGGTTGTTTACTTTTCGAGTTTGCTCAATGAGTAGGTAAGGAATACCCCTCCTGGGAGTAGAACGAACTCCTACACACACACACACACACACTCACACAAACACACATACATACTTTGCCATGAAGAAAGCAGCAAACCGGAACCGGAAATGGAACATATTTCAATTTCAATCTTTACCAAACAAACAAAACATAAAAAAGACAAACCAGCCGAACGAACAACAACAAAACTGTGATGAATACTATAATTTTGCTCTCTCATGAATTTCTCACATTTTCTGCTCTCATTTTTATCTGCAATATTTATGAGTTTTTGTATATTAATTATATTTTCGTGCATTTTCAGCTGCAAAAACTTTTGTAAGAATTTAAGCGAAACACGAATGGCGTTGCAACAACTTCATGGCACCAAAAAACAAAAAACTAAATAAAACCAAAAAAGAAAAAACCAAAATGAAAAAAAAAACCAAATGAATTGTGGCATTCTGAGGCCAAAAATGAAAAAAAAAAAAAAAAAACACACATTTTTAATATACATTATATAAAAGTTTATAAATGTCCATTTTTTGATTATTAGTAGTGATGTTAAACGAAAACCAAAAAGCAACAAAAGAAAGCATAATTAACGATAAACATAATACTAATAATAATTGAAAGAAAAAACAAAAATATTGTATGTATGTTAAAGCATAGGATCGAAGCGAACCTTTTCGCCGAGAATCTACAGTGGATACAGAACACACAGGAAAAGAAAGTAGAAGTAAAAGTAAAGGAAAGGAAGTACCGAAAGAACGAATACGATTTACGATTTACGAATACGAATACGAATACTATCCCCGCATTTATGAAACAAAGAAAAGATCGATGAAAACCCAAAGAGAGAAAATCAACAAAGAGAAACACAATTTGAAACACAATCTACAATGTTAAGAGGACATTTAGAAAGATATATTGCCACGTATATCTATAAATATATGTATACTAACCCACCAAATTTCAAAGTATTTCAACGTTTTATACACACGAAGACGATGCGCAGGACAAGACACCATATACCGCCCCCTCCCCATCCCACAATATAAGCCCCATAAAAGCCCTATCCCGCCACCTCTATCACTATCACCCCCCCAAAAACAAAAAACAAAACAGCTGAAACTTGAAAGAAAAGTAAGGAAAAGCGTAACCGAAAGAGTAAGCATCATCAGTTTGCTAAAGACCAAAGAAAAAGGACATCAAATGAGGGACAAAATCAAGAGCAAAATAGAAAAGAGAAGGCAGAATTTGAGAGTTGAATTTTGAACGAACTTGTCGGTGGAAAAACGGAACACACTGCCCGTCATGTGATCCACGAGAGTACATGGAATCTACAACAAGTCTATACAGTACATACAAAAATACATGTTAAACACGCTCTTACGATATAAATGTATTCTATATGTATATGTATGTGTGTGTATTAGGGCCATATACAATACATATATACGATTCTATATACAATCCAAGAAAAACAAAAAACCAAATCCAAAAAAAAGGATTCAAAGCTCAAAGGAAAATGAGAAATGAGCAAAATGTGGATGGAAAGCAAAAAAGCAAAAATCATACATATACAATATACAATATTCTCATAATAGATAAAGCCAAAAATCGAACAAATCATAAGTAGTTCAGCACACACACACACACACAGACAGATAGACACACAAAATAACAGACAGACAGACAGACATATAAATAACATGAATATATTCAAAGTTTGCGAATCAAATTCAGTTTGAAACTTGTACTTGTGTAGGCTCTTAGTAATTGTAATTGAATGAAGAATATACATACATACATGCATCACACATACTATATATACATATATATATTATATATTATATATAAATCTAATTGTTTTTTCTTTAAAATTTAGTTATACATAAGATCGAATCATATTTTATTGTCATACAACAAACAACAAAGTAAAGTGAATAAAACAAAACAAAACAAAAACGGATCACAACCGAAAGACCGAAATATTTATTAACTGTTTCAACTAAGTTGTATAATTATAAGTGAAAAAGTTTACATAATGGAATTATGTATCTGTATCTAAGTGAAATGACAGACCAGACAGCATTCTCGGACAGCATTTCGGGCCAGATTGCGAGATTGGATTGATTGGATGATGATTGATGATTGATGATCTCCAGAGCTCTGGATAGAAGGATAGAACGAGATCGATTGTAATCGATGGGGCAGAAATTAACACACAAATTCGAAAAGAAAACGCAACTTAACGCACAACAAACAACAACCAACAAGAAGAGAAAACACCAACAGCAAAACAGCTATAAAACTTCCCAGAGTAACGAAACACAAAAAAAAAAACACCATAAACAAGCATATAAGTATATATAGAGTACATGTGTATACATAAGCAGTATATAGACAATTTCAATAACTGATAAATATACAATATATATATATATATACACTTATATATAAAGAGAAAGCCCAAAATTAAGGGAAAATTCAAATACATTTTCCCATAACCAAAACCAAACAAAATCGAAACCGAAATCGAATTCGAATAATTCAACAATTAAAAGTGAATCAAACGATGAATACACACACTCGTATAATATATGATACAGCCACGTCCCCTCTCCCAAAAAGAATTGTAAGCAATTTTTTAATCATTGTCGCATTTTAGAAAGGAAAATGAAGATGAACATAAAATCGATAACGAACAAAATAAAAACAAATAAATTAAACCATTTCCAAGCGCGAATAAATTTTAATTTATTCCAAGCCCACACACAACACACACACACACACACCAAATCCAACGCATATTCACAACACTCACACCTACACACACACCCCACACAAAACACAGAAACATTCAGTCATAGACAGTCACTCACTCGATTGAATACATTGCATAACGAATACAAACAAATTGAATTAAAAAACAAGTTGGATGTGGATGTGGTGGATGATGGTAAACGAAGCAAGAATGACATACAAGTAATTTTAAATTGAATAAAAATTAGTATTAAATATGTACAACAAATTTCCAAATTGCGTTTTATTTTCACCGATTTCTGATTCTGTAGAGCAACCCCGATTCGATTGATCCTTTGAAAGGAAAGTTACAGATACAAATTACGATTAAGATCCCATTAAAAAGTTCTGAGGATTTCACAATCAATGGGAATGGGCAATTCCAATACGAGCACACAGTTTGAGTACGTACATATATAATAATTAAAGGTGAGGCATTAGAGGGCACACTCCCTGTCCGTTACTCCGAACTCCGTTACTTGGCTCAATGGAACACGGCATGAGAGGGTCACAAGCCCCTTTGGTCATCATAATTCGTACTCCCCTTAATCACTGGAAATGGGATAGATTTTAGCCCTTTGTCGCAAGACAAGAGCATGGCTCTTCTTCTGATCCTCCTGGTATTAATTGCTTGCTCACTCTCATTCGTTATATAATTCTGTGTAATTTCTTAATTACTATGTCGAACCATAACTACCTTCTTAACTGCAATCATTTACTTAAATGTGGGGATTACATTAGTTATTAAATTATTGAAACGAAAATATAATTGTGGATGCTACACTAATTATTTCAAACGAAACAAATAACCATTTACGCCGGATCCTATGACGAAACTCTTTAAGACGTTGAAGAACTGCAATCTGATTCCATCATCGTAGCATGCATTCAACTATTAAAAGACGTTGATGTATCGATTGGGGTGAAAAGCTTCGGCATAAATAATTTTTGTATGCCTCAAATAAACCTAAATATTCTTATTAAACCGTATCGTATCCATGCAATAGATTTTTCTGAAGGTTTTAAGCACGGATTTTCACCGAATTCTTAACAATTGTACCATCGATTCAATTTTAACAGAGTCTTTCACATCGTGTCTAATAAGGCAGCCAGGAATCGGGTCAATCATCTGCTAGACTCATCATCTATTTGGTATTTCTCGGATATACATATACGTATGCTAGGAACTATAAATATTTACATTGGCTGTGAGCTGATTCTCGGATTCAAAAGGTCTGGACGGATACATTCAGATTCACTTGGAGGGCGGCCCAGCGATAGTCGCGGCTGTCGGGGTTGCGCACCAGGCACATCGGCTGCATTTGGCGTCCCTTCGAGTCCTTCAGGCTGCTCAGCAACTGCTGCAGGCCGCCGGGAGTCACATAGCCGACGGCACAGACGGTCGCCTCCGTGAAGCTAAAGCCGGCTGTGGTCACGTAGCCGAAGACCTCGCGACTGCACTGACGGCGCACGCTATCGCGCGTCTCGGCGGGGTCTGTGGGCAGCCAGAGGCGGCACATTTCCAGTAGGTGGGCCCGGACCAGAGCCGCCGTGTTGGCTGGACGGATGTGGACGCGCCTAGTGGCTGTCTCCTGGAGGCGCCGCTTCTCGCGCACCCGGCGAGCCCGCAGGCGCTTTAGCTTGATTTTGTGGTCACTGCGAAGCTCCTTGCGCGTCCGCTCGTTGAGATCGGGCTGCGGAGGCTCCATGTGGACGGGTGCCTGCTCGTTCCGACTGATCTGACGCCAGCGTCGCTTGTAATCGACAGCCGTGGGCAGACATATCAGCGCATTGTCCTTCACATGTCCACGCGACTTCAGACGTAGCTGGATCTGGATGAGGCAGTCGTCGGGCACCTGATCGGGCAGCGGCTGGCGCTGCCGCAGACAATCGCCGATCGACTCCAGCAGCTCTCGGTGTCGCAGCACGTGGTAAGATCCAACGTCTCGGATGGTGGCAGCAGCAGCAGTGGTCCGCCAGTCCCGCACCAGATGCTTCCAGGGCGCACTGAAGGGACTGGCCACCGCCAGCTTTCTATAGTTGGTGCGTTTGTTGGGCGGCAGGCGGAAGTAGCGGGCGCGCCGCTCCTCGGCAGCAACAGACGCCAGCTTCAATCCTGGAAATGAATACCCAAATTAGGAATATGGTGTGCCTTCTCTCAGTGCGCTTGCCCACTTACCCGCCAATGTGTCGGGCAGATGCTGCTCGCCGCCAGACTCCCTGGCCACCGAATCGAGCTCACGCAGGCCACCTGGCCTGGCGCCCCACATGGTGAGTGTTAGCCAGAGGGCCATGCCGTACTTGGCCGGCGCGATCACGTCCCAGCCGCAGCCGTAGCCCAGGCGCTTGTACTCGGGATCCTGGGAGCCGGGACGCTGGATCAGCAGCAGTGGAACCGGCTGCATTTTCTCCTCGAAGGCGCAGGGCACTCCGGGAACCACAGCGTGCTGCTGGCGCAGCTCCTGATAGGCATGGGTGGACATTATGTCCCTGGCCAGGCGCTCCCTCTCCTCCCGTTGCCAGAGCGGACTCTGGGGCAGGCACTCGGGCTGACTGAGCAGGAGACTACCAGCTGGCGCCGCTCCAGCACGAGATTCCGCCTTGGTGCGCTTGCTGGGACGCTGCAGGCGGGGATCCACGATGTGGAGACCCATGATGAGGTTCGAGAGCAGCTCGCTAGGGGAATGCAGCTGGAAGGCGGCCTCGCAGTAATCGGCCTGGGCCGAATGCACCTCAAGCTGATCCTTCCGATGCGCCCGCAGGCTGGAGGCCAGCACCCGCTGGGCCTGGACTCCCGTCAGGCGAAAGCGGTTGAACTTCTGCCGCAGCACCAGCAGCTGGAGGCTGCCATGCGAGTAGTGTTCGTGACGCTCGAAAGCCTTCGTATGTGTCCAGAAACGCAGCGGCTTCTCTTTCTGCTCCTCCCCTGGCTCTTCCTGTAGGGGCAGCGTCTGTTGCCGCCTGGACTGCAGCGAGAACACACGCAGCAGCTGCTCGACGGTCGCCTGGGCGGCACTGGGATGCAGCCAAAGCCAGAGGGTGCGAACGGCCTCGGCGGCTGACGCTCCTTCCTCCAGAGGCCGCCACATGAAGCTGGCACGCTGAAGAGCCCTGCGGGGATAATGGCCATCGGCAAAGAGCTCCACGGTGCCCTCGCGACGGCCCGTGAGGAAGGTTCTGGCCGTCACGCTCAAACCGCACTGGGGGCTAGTCAGGCGGGCGAATCCCTGCCGCAGCGACTCCAGCTTTCCCTGCAGCTCGACGCAGGTGTAGTAGGAGATGTCCTGGAGCAGGCAGTGCTGCACGCTGGCCCGGTAGCAGGCGCGGTAGGTCTTGTCACAGCTGGCGTTGGCCAGGCGGTAGCCCCAGCGGTCCACCATGTGGAAGCGTTTGGCGTGCCAGATGTGCGTCTCCAGCCAGTGGTGCCGCTGCTGGCGGCGCACATACTCCTTAAGCAGGTTCCCGGGCCGGCGGCGGTATTTGCGCGAGGGACGCTTTCGGATGACCGGGTCATTGCCGCCTTTGCACATCTGGTTCTTGTGGGCGTGGCGGTACTTGCGCGGCAACCGCTTGGGGTGGTGGGACATGGCGCGGCGCCGCATGTGCTTGGGCAGCGTTTGGAAGATCAGTTTGCTGCTGACGGGATTCAGGGCCTCTGCGATGAGGCCCTTGATCTCGTTCAGCGCCCCCGCCGCGTAGCGGTAGGTGGACACGTGCGTGGGCAATGTGATCCGCCCGCCCATGCGGGCATCGTATTCCAGTTTCTGTGCGCTCATGACGGGGCCACTAAATCTTAAGCGAATTTTAAAAATCAAAACAAACTGAATCCGCGGCACGTGGCAATATGGTCACACTAGGGCTGCACAGCCATCGATGATTCTCATCGGTATATTTACGGTATATTATATACTTTTCAAAATTACCGCCAAACTCAATTTAGCGCACCAAAAATACTGACATTTTTCGCTCTCAAATCGTGGTGGTTTTTAAAAATTTGCTCCCTTTTTCGAGGTGAAGAGAGCGTTTTCGTGGTGACTTTATCCTCCTTTTCGTGTTGTGAGCCACATGTTCCTAACGGGAACCGTATGGAATGTAGATTCACCGTTGCGACGTTCCTACGCGTTCCCGTATGATACTTTTGATTTGTATGGGAAAAATTTCAGCAACATGGGGAAATGAAGTAGCAGCATTGCTGTGCAACTTTGGCACGGAATGAGCAACAATCTGCATACCTTGGGAAAATGGATATTATGGGCTTGAGATATTGTTTGAATTTTCAGGCTCCAATTAATGCAAAAACTACTCAGTCTCTGTTCTAAAGATTTTAACAAAGTTTTGCAGCTCACGACTACCAATAATGGGTATCAGAACCGGGATAAATGTATTTATAAAACACAAACATGTGCATTAATATGTAAAAAAGCATGTCAACCTAGGATCAAATCAATATTAATGTTTCAATGGAGCTTGAAACAACAAATTTAACATCAATTAAAGGAAATATGGTATAAAAAAGTACATACGCATAGAAGAAACTTGGTTGCCCAGCAACTATGACGTCACATTTAGTCAACATTTACGTTTTATGCTTTGACCGTTTTTGTTTGAACCTTTTTATGTAAGCAATCCAATAAAAAGAACTTCTGAAAGCTAACCAATCTTGTAGAAAATTAATGTTTTTATCGGATTAAATTATTTGTTTAGTACTGAGAGGGCTAATTAGCTAGTAATATTGAACCGAATATCAAAATTGAGGAATATCAACGCATCTTGTCATGTCCGTCAGTATATTTATGGTATATTTTGATAATGACAGGGTGTATTTCGATACATTTTCGAGGGTCAGGCGGTATATTTTATCGGTAAGTCTGCGGTCACACTTGTCGCATCAAAATTTCGCCTACTTCGCACTCAATTTATCCCGTGTTTTGTGTTGTTTTTCCCCAGCCAGCCTACCAACAAATCGATATGGTAAGTAGGCCGACAAGTAATTGATATCGTGGCCAATATATAGCCATATAGCTACACGTAGTTTTTCCATTGACTTTTGCTGGAAATTAATGTGTTCTTTTGTTTGGTTTTTCCAGGCAGCTTACACCGAGGATCAGTTGGCTGGTAAGTGTCTCTCTCTCTATCTATCTCTTCCTCACTCTGAGTAGGCGTGTGTGCGTGTGTGTGGAAGTTCAAAGTGCCAGCTCAAAGCCTCCCCTCCCCCTCGGCAGCCTCGACGACTGCAAAAACAAAAAGACAACATAAAAACAGTTATTTGCATGCGCTGGCACATTTCAACTCTTTCTCTCTCACTCTGCATTGGAATGTGTGTTCGTGTGAAGGCGATGACACAGAAATGTTGTGTATGTGTGCGAGTGCTACACATATTCATATGCGGTGTATGAATCATTGATAAAACAAATACTCTTGGCCGGGTGGGTGGTGTTAGGAGGGGAAAGCACTGGAAGGCAGCCATACGATCGCGTTGGAATGACTCACCCGGCGAACAGCAGCAGCTACAGGAGGAGAAGATTCGATACGAAGGAAAGGAACTGCAGGGATTAGCTCGCGTCCACTGCCCGGCGGCGACTGCAGTTGCGATCCGATATGATCGCCACATCTCTCGCATCTCGGCCATGTCCAAAGCGGTCGCTCGGCCGGCTGCCGCCATTTAAGGCGGACCAGACCGGGCCACCATCACCTTCTGGGTCAAATGCATCTCGATGCCACGACCAGGCCCCGGCCAGCCGGCCATTATGGCGGATCTTTACGCAACGATCGAACCTCTACTCAGCCACCCCCCTCTTGCTCCATCCATGCTCTGCTGATAACTTAATCAGCATCGATTGCTGCTCGATTAGCCACTCCAGTGCGCTCCACCCGCCCGACCGAGCGACCGTCCGCCCGATAAGTCTCTGACGTCAGCCCCTGACCGCATTCGACCGCGAATCCGCGTACTGCAGTCGCTTGCCTGTGGCTCCGCTCCGCCATTTATTGCCAAAAATGGGCAAAAATGCGCTGAAATCGTTTGCTTTTATGGCCATTTTTGGCTGCCATATGCGCATGCTGTGGCCAAAACAGCAACATATTCCGCTCGTGCCTGGGCTATAGAAGCATAAGATACCCTTTACTCATCGAAAGGAATGGAGATTGCAGCCAAATATCTGATATTCACGGAGTAGATTCAAATCATGGTCAGGATCGACAGTTCCACTTTGTAAAATGCACAATTAAACCTCGAGGTATTATCCTTTGGCCAGGAATTGCTAGGTGTAATGTGGGAATCCATGTGGCAAGTGGCAACCCCCCTTGTGGAGGGTATATCTCTGAACGCAGGCTCAATATGATCCGTTCTCTTGCTGCTGCTGGTGCTGCCTGCTACTGCAGCTGCAGCTGCTTTTGCTGCTGCTTGTGGGGCAGGCTGCGAGGCAGGCCAAATCTGTAAGCCGAAGCTGGAGTGTCAGTAGCAGGCGAGGCGGTCATCGAAGCGGTTCATCATGTATTACTACACAGCACATGTGAAGCCGACGTTCACCACGGTGGAAGGTTAATGCAGGGAGAGATTCTTTTATTCTGATTGGATCTCCACATTCTAACAATCTTTGTGTGTTTTGCGTCTATTGCAGAGTTCCAGGAGGCCTTCAATCTGTTTGACAATCGCGGCGATGGCAAAATTCAGCTGGCCCAAGTGGGCGAATGCCTGCGTGCCCTCGGCCAGAATCCCACCGAGTCGGACGTGAAGAAGTGCACGCACCAGCTGAAGCCGGACGAGCGTATCTCGTTCGAGGTGTTTCTGCCCATCTATCAGGCCATATCGAAGGCCCGCTCCGGGGACACGGCCGATGACTTCATCGAGGGACTGCGTCACTTTGACAAGGACGCCAGTGGCTACATATCGTCTGCCGAGCTGCGCCATCTCCTGACCACGCTGGGCGAGAAGCTCACCGACGAGGAGGTGGAGCAGCTGCTGGCCAATATGGAGGACCAGCAGGGCAACATCAACTACGAGGAGTTTGTCCGCATGGTCATGAGCGGCTAGGACAAGCATCCAGCACCCCCCAAAAAGCACGACGAGACCGATGACGAGTAGCAGCAACAAAATCCACACAAAACAAACAAAAGTAGCAACAACAACAACACTAAACACCTGCCAATCTATCAGTTATCAAAGCCGATGGCCGATCCAAATGTAGTTCATTCCGCCAGAATTTCCAACTCCGAGATTCCAATTATCATATTCCTATGCCCCATGTCCATTGTCCATCAAGGGACGATAATAATTAATTAATATTCCAACGAAAGACAACAAGACAACAGAACACAACGACCATGGAACGATGGAAGTAGACAGACAGAGAGAGAGCGACAGCGAGAGTTGGAGTTGGAGCAACAGGCAGGAGACCAGGGCAGCTCTGCCGCCCCGCCCCGCCCCGCACTAGCCCCAAAAATAACTAACCATCGACACAGTACAGTACACTCTTGAATAACGAATTAATCCAGTACACATCATCGTGGCCGCGTGAATAACTTGTGCGTATTATTCTAAAGTAATAAGAGATATTTGAACAGTAATTAAACCCGATATTCCGGCGTTTCTTTTGTACGTACCGCATACTCTAATCTTAAAAAAAAAAAACAAAACAAAAATGAAACATGTTATACAATATACACACATTACATACATACATACATATATGTAGGACTGGGATCCCGCAAGGGGATCTCAATTTCCACACCGCAGCAAGAGTATGATGAAAAGTATTTATAAACTAAACTAAAATCGGAAGGTTCGCGTATGATGTTTTGTTTGAATTTAGATGCGCATTTCAAATTTTTACATGTTTTTTTTTTTAATAATTTAATATTTGTATTTAATAAACAAGAAAAACAAAAAAAAGAGCAAGTGAGCGTAGGTTCTTTTTACAAGAGAAAAAAAAGTACTTAAAAATAAATAAAACCAATTGAAAGTGTACATGCTGTTTTATTTATTAAACTGCCAGTTTTGCCCCTGAGAACACGGCATTTTGAATAGCATTTTGAAATTGGCGCCCAGCAGTGTTGCCAGGGCAGCCGAATGGTCGCATTCCACAGCACTACAATGCAGTGTGAGCGGGCGCAATATACATATGCGGCTGTTTGCACCACCAATACTAATGCACATTTATCGTTGTGTTTGCACGAATACGATGATTAATGCGTTTCCGCGCACTATGTGCATTTATCGTGCGATGGCCTGACAACCCTACGCTCTGCGCGTTCCAAAACAAAAGCGAAAATGTTTTAAACATTTTTGCAAGTGCAACCGCTGCATTCCTTTAGTTTCCGTCTTGGTAGTGATTTAACTGATCATTACGTTCGCTTCGCTGCAGTCCAGTCCGCGCAGACCATGGCCCGAAACGCTGCCGCGGGCGTTGTCGCCACTCTGCCTGGCGGAGGCGGCGGCGAGCCCAGCTCTCCAGTGCAAAAGGTGTGGAAGCCCGAGCGTAAGTGATTCAGCCATCAGGAGTACCAACCAGTGGGTGACCACTCTCTCTCTCTCTCTCTCTCTCTGATTATCTTGACTAGTGTACAAGATTCAGCTGGAGGCACCGGCCCCGTGTCCGATGCGGTGCCAGCGCACCCTGCCTCTGCCGCCGCAAAAGAGCACCGCCGAGGAAGTGGAGCAGGACAACCAGGCCGCGCGGCTGTATGGCTCCGAGTACCATGGCCTGATGGGCCACCTGGAGGCGGAGCATCTGCTCGGTCTGACTGGAGGAGAAGGCAGCTATCTGGTGCGTCGCAGCCCCATGTCCGACGGCTTCTACACGCTGAGCCTGCGCTTCAACAAGCGCACCAAGCACTACAAACTGTTCCACAAGTCCGGCGTGGGCCACTACCTGCGCGAGCAGGACAAGCGCTTCGACTCGGTCTACGACATGGTGGCCGACGGCCTTATCAACTTCCACATGCAGCTCCACGCCAGCCCCATCATACAGCAGATTAATCAGCAAACCAAAAACTGCTACCAGCAAAGTCCCTACATGACCCTCAACGGTCGCAAGCTGCGGGCTCTTTCCAATGAGCTGGGCAAGACTAATGCAGCCGCCGCCGCCGCCGCCGCGGCAGCAAAGGATGAGGCGTCTCCAAAGGATGTGGATGTGCCAGCGATGCCGGCGCAGCCCTTGGCCAGTCAGCTGCCCGCTGTTGCAGTGGATCCCATGCCGCTGATCTACGAGAAGCTGCACCACTTCAAGGTGCACACCTTCAAGGGCCTCAACTGGTGCGAGTTCTGCGCCAACTTCCTGTGGGGCTTCACCGCTCAGGGCGTCAAGTGCGAGGCCTGCGGCTTCGTGGCCCACACCAAATGCTCGGAGCTGGTGCCGCCAAAGTGTGTGCCCGACCTGAAGCGGATTCGGGGCGTCTTTGGCACCGATCTGGCTACCATGGTTCAGCTGGATCCCCGCCACCAGATCCCCTTCGTTGTGCGTCGCTGCGTGGAGGAGGTCGAGGCCCGGGGCATGCTCCAGGAGGGCATCTACCGCGTCTCGGGATTTGCGGACGAAATCGAGGCCCTCAAGCTGGCCCTCGACCGGGAGGGCGAGAAAACGGACATGTCGGAGGTGGCCTACGGCAATGTCAATGTCATTGCCGGCACCCTAAAGCTCTATCTGCGGCTGCTGCCCGTGCCTCTCATCACGTTCCAGGCGTACCCCAGCTTCATGACTGCCGGCCGTAAGTGTTGTGCTGTGCTGTGATCCGTGATGCGAAAAAAGAGCCCATTTTAACTGTAAACTCGTTTTAGGGAACACCAAACAGGCGGAGCAACTGCAGCTGATGTCAGAGGCAGTGCGTCGTCTGCCGCCGGCCCACTACAGCTGCCTGCAGTACATGCTGGAGCACCTTAAGCGGTGAGTAGTGTGAATGCCACTCAATGTTCCTGACATTCCAATTGAAACCCTCAAAATCCCCTCGTCCTTATCCCATGCAGTGTGGCCTCCCACTATGCCGTCAATAAGATGAACGAGCACAACCTGGCCACTGTGTTCGCGCCCACGTTGATAGCAACGCCCCAGCACATGACGAACCTGACCGAGGAGATATTCATGCTCTCCTCGCTGATCACCCACTGCAAGACTATATTTGCCTAGGCGCCACGCCACGCCACGCCACGCCACGCGAAAACCTTAAGCACAGATCAGAGGGAGAGCCCACTAGAGGGAGCAGCAGCTATATCCAGCTCTCTCAGTTCACTGAACCCCATCATCCCCCCACCCCGCCACCGGGTGTATCGCATGAGGTGCACACCTCAATTGGCGTTTTGCCTAGCATTTACCTTAATTTATTAATGAACTTTCGATGCATCCTTGATATGTCCACCAAAAATGTAGCCTTAAGTATCTATGAATAGCGCTTTACATGAATTCCCAGTTTTGTAAGGATTACATCGAAAACACACAAGTAGAACGCATTTAATGTTGTAGGAATCTAACGTACGAATTTACCGAATTTTCGAAATACTTTTAGCATACTTTTACGATCTTTTCGTCACAAGAAATATATTTATTTTATTTATATAAAGAACTAGTACTATGATTTTCTCAATCCGGAGGGTTGCCCCTGAAGGTGTAGTTGATTTCTTTAGCGTATAATCAAAATGCAATCTTTCAGTTTTATTTACCTTCATGTTTTGGGTAGAAGCTCGTAAGTAATTGAAGAAATCAAACAGCATTCGATGAAACATTTTTACAAACATATTTCCCATCTTTTCAGCACATATCCATACCTATGCCTATGCATTTTTAATCACTTTTAATGACATTACATTAATTTGAGCAGGGTTGCCTATCGAATAGAACTGAGCAATCGGGTAAGGGTAAACCACACCTTTCCAATACTTAAATCGAATAGATGTCAAAGCTAAACTGAAGCTGTCATTCAGTCTGGCAAAGTATTTGTGTGTGTGTGGAGTTTTATTTTCTCTAGCGGAAAAAACTGCAAAATGGAAAAGAAAGAGAAACCAAAAATGGAAACATACAAATTTGAATCCGAGCAGGAAAAACTATTCAAAGATCCCGCTTACAAAGCAGAAGTTCGTAAATTTCGCAAAGAAAAAGAGCGAATGTACCAGGAAATAATGAATGAATGCAAAAAGCAAAAAGAACTAAATCTGAAAAAAAAATGAAGTGCCACAGCAAAAAAATTTGGTGTGCATGCCCGCAAAGGTCAATATTATATTTCAAGATGACGGCTACAAGCAAAAAAATGAAGGAAACATCCAGATGAAGCAAAATACTGCTAACATTGAATATGTACCGTATTTGCCATTTAAAGACGTTCCTTTCAACCCTCCACGGTAAGTAGGCATTAGTTTGAGTACCCAAAAAGATTCAATTTAATTTTTAACTGCTTCCTCGATCAGCATTGCATCTAAGAGGGAGTATACACTGTTTGACTGTACCCAGGAGATGTTCATGAATCTCTGGGCCGATCATGATGCCGGAAGTGTCTCGAAGAAGCCTCGAATGGAACCAGAAGAGCCCAGTCCATTCAAAATTCCAAAGTATAGCAAAATTTTTCGTTCCCTAAAGCATTCAGTTTAATTTATATCTGCTTCCCCGTTAAGAATTGACCATCCCAAGAATATGGTCAAGGATATGTGTGTCCAGACGATGCCAGAAAATATATTCGCTAAGCCAATGACCGAGTGCGTCTCCAATGAGGCAGCAATGGTAACAACCGCATCGGGACCGGGACCATCCAACGTTTCAAAGTAAGTGGCATAAGCATTTTCGTTCCCCATCAAATGTCATTTAATCTATGGCTGCTTCTCCGCTCAGCAATGACTCTAACTTCGTCGAGTGTCCCATGGATTTCGACGGCAACGATATTATTGGCTACTCGCCGGCATGGAAGTTCGATATCTTGCCCGATGGAACTTTCAAGACATCGACTATCTACGACCCCTTACGCGACGGGCATGTGCCGTTGGTTGCGCGCGAGGTCAGCGTCACGGATGGCCCCCTGATACTTTTAGTCGGGGACGAGGAAGGCCAAGTGCACTACAATCACAAGGACAGGGTGCAAATGGACATCGGGAATTCCACGCTGCACGTGCTCGACCCCACCGAGGAAGCCGTCTTGCTGGTGAACGAGAAAGTTCCATTGGATTTGAACGAGCTGATCGTAAATACGCCCATTGGACAGGAGTCGCAGGGCAGTCAAACTGATGAACATGCTGATGTCGAGAATTCGTATTCGAATTCGAATTCGAATTCTTCTGGTGACCAGAAGAAGTCTCGCATCGCCTTTGAACAACTCGATATTGAGCTTCCCACTGACAAAAAATATCTAAAGCAAACAATCATTTAAGCTATCAATAACACAACACACACATATAAATGGACGTCTCGATATTGAGTTTCCCACTGAGAAGAAAACACTTAAAACAAACAAACAAACAAACAAACATCAAAGCTATCAGAGACACAAACACACACACAAATGAGCGACTCGATATTGAGTTTCGCGATGGGACAAGTTTCCCACAGCAAACAAAGAACTGAACTTCAATGATCTGTAAACACCAAAACACATGCAAATGGCTGGATAGTTCTTGGAACGAACAAACATCGAATTTAAAATTTACACTTACATTTATACACTTGTGATCGATTATTGCCATGCAATGTAAAGGAGAATGAATTTAAAATATATAAATATTATATATATATATATATATATATATTGGGCTCTGAGCATCTATATTCCAACTGATTTTGTATGGCCATGTTGAAGAGTCCCAATTGTGATTGTGACCACCGATCCAGGCAGGCCTGGGAATCTATACTCATCTCATACCCTAGTACTTTATCCATTCACAAAATTCGTCTTGTTTTAGATTTTAGATTTTTTTTTGGTTTCCAAATTATTGTTCAGCGTCATGCAACGCAAGAGTCAGCTGGCTCAGGCAGCCGTCAAACAAAGGCCCACGCCCGATATCGGATGCTTTCACAAGAAAGCGGAGCTGTTGGAGATGCTGCCGCTGGTGCACAGTCTGTGGGAGATGTTCAACATGTTCGACCCCGCCGATTCAACTGGCATTCGAGTCGGCGATGTGGGCCACTGCCTGCACGCCATGGGACTAGCTCCAATCCAATTTTCGCTGCATGCCAACATGCCCCAGAGCTGCCAGAATCGGCTTAGCTTCGAGAATGTGCTGACGATGTACTGCAAAATGGCCAATGTGGATGGTGGACCCAAGGCCCCAGAAGTGCTGCGGGCCCTGCGGGCTTGGGATGTGGAGCAACGCGGCATCATTCCGTACTCGGAGCTGCGCAAAATGCTCACGACAATTGCCGAGCCCATCGACGCGAGCCATGTCTTTGGCGTGCTCGAGTGCGTCACTGATATCGAGGGCAATGTCCACTACGAGGACCTCGTGGCGAACATGTATGCCCACGATGAGAATGCCAAGGAGACGCTGCGCCAGGCGCACTGCTATCTACAGGCCCTGGGCCGCAACGCCGTCGACGTGGACATGGTGCTGCATGACGAGTTCATCGATGATCTGCGCGAGGCTGATCCGGACCGCAGCGGCTACATCGCGCACAGCAAGTTGCTAGAGCTGCTCAATCGCAATGAGAACTCCTTCACGGCGCGGGAGCTGGACATCATTACCGACACCACGAAGTCCAATGCGAGAACCGATAAGGGCATCGACTATCATCGATTTTTGCGCTACATCATGGACACATAGTGGGGGCAGTGCACCGAGAGTAAGCTGCCGATGCTGCAAAATATTAATAATAATAATTTATTCAGAATTAATTTTTGGCTTTTACTTCTAGAGGGTGACACTTACTCGGCATAACAGTGCTGCCAAATGGCAGAGAAACTGTTATACGCTCAATGGGCAGCACTTTGCGTAGAATACATGTGAAATGTAGTATGTAGATATAGGAATGTACTGTAAACTAAAATGTGGAATATATTCCAGGCTCCGCTTTAGCTTATCATGTCGCCAGATGGCGCTTTAGTGCCTCCAAGTGTAGATCGTATGTCATTAAATTGAAATCTGTGTAGAGTCCACGATAAGTAAGACATAGAGATGGACTGAAGCTGGTATTCCCATGCACGTAAGAATCCATTAAGAATTACGAGTAAATCTTTTTCTTAGTTGATTTTTAATTCCGCCCGCATTCTATTCGGATGTTCCGCATAGTAAATAAAACGTATTTCGATTAAATATTTATTAAAAATATTACGTTTTTGTGTCTTTACAGCTAAAAATAAACGTATGCGTACATTTTAAAATATTCGATTACAGATCTTATCCAAGACATTGAGTTGCTTAAGTCTAATCAAAAAAAATGGTATCCTTTCATTTGGTTCGGGTTTGGTTTGTGTGTGTGTGTGTGTGGGTGTGGGTGAGAGGGAAGATGGGTAGCGGGAAGGCGGGAAATGTGGTTATATTACTGCATTTTGAAGATGTCCTGCTGACGTCAGACATCCTCGCAGGCGGCCATTGACCGCCCGCCGCTGCCAGTAAGCTCCATTTTGATATGCTGCTGCTGCTGCTGATTGGAGTTGACCTGCAAATGGGAGTGGGTGTGTGCATGTGGATGTGGATGTGGATGTGGATTGGCATGTGGATGTGCTGGTCCTGCTTGTGGGTGGTTGTTGTTGTTGTGCTCCTCGTTGTGCTTCAGCATATCACACTGGGCCTGAGCCTGGGCCTGAGCTTGAGCCTGGGCATGGGCCGCAAAGCTCCGTACCTGCAGAAAGAGGCCACCGTTGTTGAGCAGCCGCGCCTGGTGCTCCTGCGCCTTGGCCCGGAGACAGGCGATGGAGTTGTTCCTGTAAAGCGAAAAGATTTAATTAAAAGATCTCGCGATCCGAGGGTAAAAAGCTTTGGCTTTCTCACCTAAACGCATCCGGATCGTGTTCCATGAGTGCGGCTGCCAGATGATGGGCATGCAGGCCCGGTGGCGCCGCCGGCATCTGGGGCTGTTGCTGCTGCTGTTGGGCAGCCGCAGCCGCTGCCGCCACCGCCGTATTCATGATCAAGTGAAAGTCCTTGCTGGTGGCCGCGGCACCAGCACCGGCCGCATTGGCCGCATCCAGAAGCGGATGATAGCTCGGCGTGGCCGAGGCGGCTCCACCGCCAGACAAGTAATGTTGACTCTGGTGCTGCTGCATCAGCTGGGCCTGGGCCTGGGTCTGGGTCTGGGACTGCTGCGGGGATGGGGAGCCCAGCTCGATGTGGGGCGATCCCGAGCTGTTCGTGGTGGCACCCGTGGGCGTGGTGGCTGCCGAGGAGGCAGCCGCATAGCCGCTGCTGCCGTGGGGCGTTGTCGAGGTCGGCGGTGCAGTCGAGGTGATGGTGTTGCAACTGCTTGGCGCCGGGCTGACCACGTTCAGCGATTCCGTGGAGGAGCTGAGTGCCCGCGAACGGGAGCGCAGCTCCTCGGAGTGGGCCGACTTTGAGCCGGCCGAGTCCTCATGATCGCTCACTCCCGAATCGTCCTTGAGGGCGGACTGAGCCTCAATCGATTTGCGGTGCATGCCTGATGGAGATTAGAGAGGTACACACACATGTAGATAGTTAGAGGGAAGTGGCTTTTGATGTTTAATGGCTCTGTGTGGATCTGGTGTAGAGTTACGGGCAGGTGGGACGGGTTGAAGAGAGCGTTTGGAATGGCCAGGAGCGTATATGGGGCAAGGTTTAACTATGTTAAAACTAAAGTGGATAAGTAGGATATTTACGAAGGTTTTATTTTGGCAAAGAACTAAGTAAATAAATAATAAATCCAGCTAATGGATTATTAGATTACCGCATAAACAATATCTGACATAAGTTTTATTACAGTTTTAATGGCTAAAAAACAATTTATAGATCAATGGATTCGAGCGTATATCGTTAATCCAATAATATAGGTAAATATTATGTAAAACCTCTTCTCAAAAGAGGGTGCTGCGCTTTTTGGAAAAACCAATGATGCAGTTACAATGGAAAATCATTGAAAATGGCTTGAATAAATAAAAACCACAATAGAACCAGCAGCAGCAGCAGCAGCTGTACCTGTTATGCATCTGCCCACCCCCCCATAATTGTTCTTCTAATTAATTTATATAAACTGAAATACATATTTCATGTGGCTCCATCAATTGCCAACTAATTTGACATATTGACTTAATTAAAAACTCCCAGCAACAGCACACAATCCAGTCCCAGATGAACTATGGGCGGCCACTCGCTAAGTCGTCGATAAGCCACTTAAGGCTCGAACCAACTTTGGCCACGGCTACTTGGGAATTAATTTGCGAGTCATGCAGCGGAGGACAGGCACAGGCACGGGGACAGGAGGTTGAGGAGGATGAAAGCCGATGAACTATGCGGCGTATAACCCACACTTCCAGCAACCCATTTCCCTTGCTTTGCCCCTCCTCCTGCTCCTGCTCGTTTTGTACCCCCCCTTCCAAAGGCCACACAATGGAAATAGATAAACGATAAATACCGAATAAAGCAGAAATTCATTGGGATGCGAAATCGGGGGATGGGTTGGGTTGGGTTGGGTTGGAATGGGATGGGGAATTCAACCCCTCTGCCTGCTTTGTGGCGTCGCGTGTGCATTTTGCATTTATTAAGCGATTATTAACAAATAAAGGAAGTCGTATCCGGATGCAGAGATGGTGACGGTGACGGAGACGGAGACGAAGCGCGGAGCCAACCCCCTCTGGTCGAGTGCCACCGCGACCTTCCGCGCAGCAAACTGGTGGCACTTGTCAGACAGTCAGAGAGAGAGAGAGAAAGAGAGAGCGAGAAAGCGAGCGAGAGGGCTGCCCGCTAATCCGCAAAGTCATTTCGGGAAATGTGCGCAACATATGACGAAAAGATTCGATTCTAGTTGTTGGACATGCTCGCCAAATATGCTCACAATTTTCGCCCCGGCCCAGCCCGGCCCCCGGGATCCGCGCACTTTATAATCCCCAAGCTGCTGTCCTTTGTGCGGCTCAAAATTTAATTAAACCCTCCTTTTGGGTGTCGTTTGTCTCCTTATTGCCCGAATGAATGGATGCCAAAAGCCGAATGGCTGTGGCAGGGGTGGGGATGGGGACGGGCAGGGGGAAATGTGGACTATAGTTTTGATAGTTTCGATATGATTGTTGCATTTACATTTCTGTTCCATACCTAGTAGCCAGGGCGCCACCGCATCGTTCTCCTTGGCCGACTTCAAGATGGTGTCCGGCAGCGGCAGCGAATGCCTCACCATGGCCCCATACAGCCCGTACTCGGCCATGATGGTGCTGCCGCCCCAGACCTTCTCGGTCTTTCGCCATTTGGCCCTGCGATTCTGGAACCAGACCTGAAACAATCAACCAAACGCCATTAATACATTTTATTTTACCTTTAAACAACAACAGATAAACAGTAAAAGGAAAAAGAAAATTTAGGGTTCATGTCCTGCGCTGTGCTGCTGCCATATGGACGCGCTGACCTCTGCTATGCTGGCTAATGCTCTCCGGTCGCAGCCAAATGGCATGCAAATTGCAAATTATTAAATAAAAAACTCATCCAAATTGAAAAAATGTAAATGGAATGTTTTTTAAATGCTAATACTTGGACCATAAACCGCTGAGCTGCTGTGGACACACAAAAGGAGAGAGACAGAGAGACAAGAGAGAGAGAGACAGATTCCTTACACATATTGATGCATGCAACCCAAGGGCGTAGTATTGTTTATGTTTAGGGGGTAGACTTAAGGATTCATCTTGGATTGGATTTAGTTTTTCATTGAATTGTGATTCAATGATAGAAAACTTCAACTTTGAGTCGCTATATCTTCAGATATATCCATTCTATTACCACGAATCAAAAATCCTGTGAAAGGTGCCACCATTTTCTTGTCAACCTATTACTTTCTGTGGATATCCGCGCTGCAGGTTCTGAGTAAAAATTATGAAAATGCAAACAGTCATCGAGTTGCGGTTTTTGAATTTTTAAAAAAGATTTTGGGGGTACTTTGCAAATTCTAAGTACGAGAAGTGATCTACTCATCACGGCCCACAACCTAAATTTTGTCTCGTGCAAAGTAAATTCAAAAGATTCACATTTGTCGCACAGTGTAATCAATCAACTTTATGCCGATTAAAACCACAAATATTTCTGTCAAAGGTGAACCCAAAATTATTCGAAGGATCTATGGATATGTCTGGCTTTGAGTCTCGATTGTTACACCGATAGAAAAAAGCCCTGAAATTTTAATACTTTCACTTAGATTTTAATATTTATGCCATTGATTTTCATCCAAGAGTGTTTGTATTAAAATTGAATATTTTTCACTTAAATTTTGATATTAATATATTTCATATTTAAATTTAATATGTTTCATATTTAAATCTAATATGTTTAATATTTAAATCTAATATGTTTCATATTCAAATTTAATATATTTCATATTTAAATTTATTATGTTTCATATTTAAATTTAATATGTTTAATATTTAAATCTAATATGTTTCATATTTATATTTATATTCATTTTTAACTAATTGGTTATTATTTTGCGTACGCAAATTACATTTCAAGTCCTCATGGTGTGAATTGGTTAAAGTTTTCAACTAGAAATAGTCGCAACATGAGTAGGCTGCATTGGTTGTGATTATGTCCCTGCGCTAAGATAATTTACGTGCATTCAAGGCGGCAGCAGCTGGAACCAGTTGGGAATTCGAGGGACATAAAAAAATAATATAAACATAGTTAAAATAAATACAAAAAATATTTGATATCATTTACTATGGAATATTTAAAATAAAAAGTTTTTCCTTAGGATTTTTAAAGAAAAATTTTGAAATCAAGTCATAATAATATTCAATTTAAATATGAAACATATTAAACTACAAATTTAATATATTATATTTATTTTGAAGTGTTTTGTATTGAGATTAAATATGACCGTATTAAAGAAGCATTTTTAATACATTTATATTTGAATCAAAGTGAATTCTATTAATTTTACTATGTTTGTATTTAAAAATGGCATTTTAAATACAAATATGATTGTAGTTTAGGGATGGGTATCGATATGGCAATATCGATATTATATCGATACTAAATGCGATATTTAAGTTCAAAACGATATGATATTCAAAGCGATATTAGCCGAAAACTCGTATTCTTACGATATATCGACATATTTTCTCGTCTCAAACAAAAGAAAACAAGGACGTTGACGACAATCAAACTTCGTTTTGGCAAATGGTGACTGGCTCCATAAGCAGCAAACTCCAGTATGCACGAAAGGGATGAAATGTCTCACTAGTTAACGTCGTCATTGGCAGATCAAAATCGAACCCTACAAGTATGGGCTTCAAACAAGGATACATATCCTGCTCTCTACAAAATTGCACTTGATGTATTACCCATTGTAGCTACGTCAGTTCCATGCGAACGCTATTTTCTTGCTGGTGGACACTTTGAATCGTCTAATGCCAGAAAAATTGTCACAATTAAAGTTTGGAACGGAGGTTGGACAAATTAACATTTGGTTAACTTTTTACGTGTTAGCATATACATAGGTAAAAAAAGCAAAAAAGGATCTCATCTTATATTCTAGTTATTTTTTCTTGAAGAATATTATATTTTTGATTTTGTTGTAATAAATTTGTTTTTGGATTTAACTTTCGCCTCAGTCTAATACTTATATTTTATATATAAGTATATATATATACTATAAAACATTGTAAATAAATACTATTAAAACTATAAAAATATATAGCTCGATAATATCGTTTATCGTATTCAAGGCGATATGGCGATATTCATTACGATATCATATCTTGATATGATATTCTATGTGATATTTTGATTTAGGTCAATATCGATATTTGCTTGACGTACCCATCCCTATTGTAGTTATTTTTACTATGCCTTTTTTCTATCAGTGTAGAAGTATATGCAAAGTTGTGCAGGGATCTGACTACAGAACTTAGTAGTTGATGCTTCGACTTCAAATCAAACTAAAACTGTTGCTACTTTTCTTCAGGGTTAATTTCCCCAACTAATCTAGGGCACTTGGCCTCGATTTCCTGTCGCCTATTCCCAGTGCACTCTCTCAACAAACCTCTTTGGCTGCCCAATCTCCAAGGGTATGTATATGGCTTGGCCCCCATTTGGCTAAGCCACTGCCAGCAGAATGTGGCCATTGTTGGCGATGACAACATGACACAATCGCCAGCAAGCAGACCCAAACAGCACACAGCACACACAGCACACACAGCAGACACACTTGAGCGGTGGTGCTCCTGCACACATAATAGCAAATGATATACATATTCGCATATAAGTGACCAAATTAGATTATCTTCCAAAACATTAAACCGATTCTCGATTCGAGTCTCTCGACTGGTAATACGAATAATAAGAAAACATTAAATGTTGATCACAAAAGCAGGAGGCAGCAGCCCAGCAACAACAACTGTCACAATAAAAGGATTTGCACACACGCACACAAACACAGACACGGACACAGGAACGGAACCCACTCTATATGCAGAGAGAGCGAGAGTGGGGGAGGGGAGAGTCGGGCAAAGGATTTAACTCGAGAAGGGACTTGCAACCCTCGAAAAACCCATCCTGGCTCATCCTTCTGCTCCTTCTGCTCCTGCTTCTGCACCGAAAAAGAAGTCATCATTTTTCTGGTCCATCAAATCGTTTAGTTCTGCTATTAGTCATGTACGAAAAGGGGGGAGACGGACCAGAGACCAGAGACCAGGCAGCAGACACAGAGACAGGGCGTAAAGATTGCCCGGCAAAATGGATTCGACGAAGGACGAGAACTCACTGAAGTGGCTGCCTGCTCGTCCAGAATGAAAATTTATAATAAAAAAAAAGCAAAATATGCAAAGCAGGGGGCGTCAGAGTGGCAGCGAGGGCAGAGGGAATCCTGAGATGCCTTGCCTTGCCCTGCCCTGCCCTGCCTTGCGGGTGCCATTGTGGCGACATTTTTGCTGGAAATTCCACTGCCATGGCACGAGCCAAGAGCCAAGAGTCGAGTCCAAGTCCCAGTCACAGTCACAGTCCCAATTCCTTTTCACACGGATTGAACAAATCGCAACAAATCGTGCGCGGGTTAAGTGGACACCAGGGCGTGGCACGGGGCTCTCTTTCCCTTACAAAACGAAGATAAAGTGGTTTGGCTTTTGGTTCTGTCGCCAGTTTTGGATGCCTACCAGGGGAGGAGCAGGAGCAGGAGCAGGAGCAGGAGCAGGAGCAGCGCCTTGGCTCTCGGGATACTCATAAATCGGGTTGCATGAGCAATTGGCAGCCCCAAAAATCCAAATGCCAGAGTGGGCTGGCAGGAGCAGGGACAGTGGCAGGGGCAGGGGAAGAGGGAGCCACTCAGTGCGTTCCGTTGCAGCCCAGGAAATTTACAACTTTTGACGGAATTTGGCAAAGTGCCGCTGCCAGTCGGAGCTGGCGAACAAAGCCAACTTTCAGTTGTACAGTGCGTTTCGCAACGCTAAGGCATGCAGCGAAGGAAAGAAATATTCCTTGCAGCATTGATGCACAAGCTTACTGCTTTGAAACGCACTGTCGTGAGTGTGACTCACCGTAGGGATGTGTCGGGCATTTGCAAGGACTCGTGGAGCGCTTTCCGGCTGAACAACTCCGATTAAAGATGAGATTCTGCAAACAGTGCAAACAGTCTGAGTCCTGAAATTGCCTGCCACTGTTCTCGAGAGGGCTGCCAACTGATGTCAAATTAATTTGAGCACACACTGAGACACAGGGACACACAAAGAGGCAGCTTCACTTGGGGCAGGGCCACGCTGCTCCTCTAATCTACTCCGGCTACAGCTTTGGCTTTGGCTTTGGCTTCGACTGTGGACTTGAGCCCTGGGCTTGGGCCTGGGCTGCCTACGAAATCAAATTAATCCGGTTTGTTATTTCATCATGCAACGTCAACGTCATCATCATCAGTTGCAACAACAGACAAAAGACTCAGCAGCAGCAGTGCAGCAGCAGCAGCAGCAGCAGCACTGGAGGCAGAAGCTGCAGAGGCAATAGCAACATTTTGCAATAATAAATAGCAGGCACACACATACACACGCATGGAAACAATGCAGGTACACACACACACACACACACACACACGCAGCGTAGATCCAGATACACAGATACTCAGAGGAAGAGATGCTGCAACTGCCAAAGGAGCGGAAAATTTCATTAACAAGGCACACAGGCAACGTCCGCCTTGTAGGGCCATAGCCAGGGTCTGGAACACAGGGAGAGAAAGAGAGAGAGACAGAGAGAGGGAGAGGGAGAGAGCGAGCGAGTGTCAACGATGCTCCTAGCCACCAGGAG